AGCTGTGGCAGAATCTGCTTCCAGCACACTCGTGTGGTTGCTGGCACATGACTCTGTGGTGGCCATGGGCTGAAGGCTGGCTTCTTTGCAATGTAGGCCTCTCCATAGGGCAGCTCACAGCATGGCAGCTTGCCTCATCACAGCAAGCAGATAAGAACAAGAGAGTGTGCAGGGTGGGTATCACCATCTGTAATGAATTGTGGTTTAGTCACCCAATGTGTCCGGCTCTTTTGAAACCCCATGAACTAATGCCCACCAGGCTCTGTCCATGGGATTTCTCAGGCAAGAATACTGGAGTGGGTTCCCATTTCCTCCTCCAGGAGATCTTCCCAACTCAGGGAATGAAGCCGCATCTCCTGCTTGGCAGGCAGATTCTTTACTACTGAGCCTCCTGGGAAGTCCAGCAGGTTGAATAATCTCCCCCCAAATTCAAATACCTTGAAACCTCAGAATGTGACCTGTTTCTCCCCCACAACTATACCGACTTAATTTTGTCTGGATGTTTACCAATCTGTGCTTACCACTGCTTTCTACAGATACCCCACCTCCTCTTTCTGAACTTGTTAAAGAGGTAAATGTTTCAGCAGTTTTTTTCCCATAGTGTTCTGTTTATGATTAACATATGTGCACACCTGGAATAATCTTTATTTACCTTCACTCTTGAACCACAGTTTGGTATGTAATTCTAGGCTGACAGTTTCCTTCAGTATTTTGAAATACTATTCCCTTATTGTTGCAAATAAGAATTCGGATGGCCGTCGAATGCTGTTCTCACAGCTGTCAGTCAGGTTTTCCTCTTGAAGCTGAACAGTGCGTTTTCACGGTGCTGTGTCATCCTATCTGAGATCTGATGAGCCCTGTAACATGAGGAGTTGGCTTGTCAGGTCTGGAGGGACTCCCAGGCGTCCTCTGGATGGTGCTTCTCCCCACTTCTCCTCCCCCCAGATCACCTAATTTAGACAAAGTTTGGAGCATCTCATTCTACCCTCCATATTTTAACATTGCTTTCACATTTTCCATTTTTAATCTCTGTGCTACACATTGAGTCATTTCCTTAAATCTTCCAATTGGCTACTTCTCTCTTTAGTTATGTCTGGTTTTCTGTTAAACCTACGCAGAAGTTTTCCATTTGTTTTAATGACTATGGTCTTCATGCCTAGAATGTCTCTTTGGTTCTTTTTCAGATTTTTTTTCCCCCAGAACTACCTTGGTTTACCTTATGGTTTTCATTGCTTCTTCCATTGCTTCAAGCATGTTAAGTGCTTTCATCCTAGAGTCTCTTGCTGATTATTACATCTCTGCCTCATGGTGTTTGAGTTCCTCATGGGATCACTCTCTTTTCTTTCCTAGAGGGGAGAGGGCTTTCTTCCCACGTCAGTCAACAGTTACCAACTTAGGTCGTGTGTCTCCACACAGGAAAGGGGGGGGCTGTTTCCTTAGACAGAGAGACCCCTCAGGGGCTGGCCCTGTCAGACCTCCAGATGCCCTGACATCTTGAATGGCCGTCAGGAAGCCGGGACCATCCCTGGGAAGCCAGATGCCCTGACATCTTGAATGGCCGTCAGGAAGCCGGGACCATCCCTGGGAAGCCGGAGTGCCCTGACATCTTGAATGGCCGTCAGGAAGCCGGGACCATCCCTGGGAAGCCCCTCTGCCAGTCCTCCAGGGCACGTGATCTCTCTGAATGGGCACCTAGTGGTGAATTAAAGGTATCTCTGAGAATTCTTCAACATATTCTGGCCCTTTGTGATCTGAAAAAGTTATTTAACTATTTATTTCTTCTGTTAAAAAAAAAAAAAGGTATCTTCTTTATATATATGGAGAAAAAGATAAAGTATTTTAACTATAAGACTTCAAAGAAAAGGTGACATATGTTTTCTTTAAAACAGTTTAATTTCATTTTTATCTGTAAAAACATACAAGTTTAAAAGGAAATAGCAAGAACTTTGACATGTCATTGTGTCATTTTTTTTTAAAACAGTACTAGAACTTGTTCAAAATGTGAAGATACAGAACCATTATAAATTTCTGGAATCAAAGACTCCAAATACAGTTGAAAACATATTAGTTATAAAATGTCAATTCACGAAATATTCCATTTTCTCTGTTTTTTATCGGGAATATTCTATAGAAACACTGTATACAAAATAAGGCAGACTTGGAAATTCAAGTATACAATTTTTAGGAAAAATAAGTGTGAAGTCCAATTTCTTTCACTTTGGGGAGTTTCCCGCAGAGCCTCACCTTGGGGAGCCGCCCGCAGAGCCAGTGTTGGAGCTTTGGCTGCTGCACAGAAGAGCCCTTTCGAGCTCTTCTGGGGTCACTAGTTGTTTTTCAGTCACTCAGTTGTGTCTGACTCTCTGCGACCCTATGGACTGCAGCATGCCAGACTTCCCTGTCCTTCACTATCTCCTGGAGCTTGCTCAAACTCGTGTCCATCAGGTCGGTGATGCCATCCAACCATCTTGTCCTCTGTCATCCCCTTCTCCTCCTGCCTTCAATCTTTCCCAACATCAGATTCTTTTCTAATGAGTCTGCTCTTCGCATCAGGTGGCCAAAGTATTGGAGCTTCAGCTTCAGTATCAGTCCTTCCAATGACTATTCAGGACTGATTTCCTTTAGGGTTGACTGGTTTGATCTCCTTGCTGTCCCAGGGACTCACAAGAGTCTTCTCCAACACCACAGCTCAAAAGCATCAGTTCATCAGCACTCAGCTTTCTTTCTGGTCCAATTCTCACCATCTGTACATGACTACTGGGAAAACCATAGCTTTGACTATACAGGCTTTTGTTGGCAAAGTAATGTCTCTGCTTTTTAATACACTGTATAGGTTTGTCATAGCTTTTCTTCCAAGGAGCAGGTGTCTTTTAATTTCATGGCTGCCGTCACCATCTGCAGTGATTTTGGAGCCCAAGAAAATAAAGTCTGTCACTGTTTCCACATTTTCCCATCACTTTGCCATGAAGTGATGGGACTGGATGCCATGATCTTAGTTTTTTTTAATGTTAAGTTTTAAGCCAGCTTTTTCACTCTCCCCTTCCACTTCCATCAAGAGGCTCTTTAGTTCCTTTTCACTTTCTGCCATAAGGGGGACATCATCTGCACATCTGAGGTTATCCATATTTCTCCCAGCAGTCTTGATTCCAGCTTGTGCTTCATCCAGCCTGGCATTCCACATGATGTACTCTGCATATAAGTTAAATAAGTAGGGTGACAATATACAGCCCTTAACATATTCCTTTCCCAATTTTGAAGCAGTCTGTTGTTCCATGTCTGGTTCTACCTGTTGCTTCTTGACCTGCATACAGATTTCTCAGGAGGCAGGGAAGGTAGTCTGATATTCTCATCTCTTTAAGAATTTTCCACAGTTTGTTGTGATCCACACAGTCAAAGGCTTTAGTGTAGTCAACAAAGCAGATGTCTTTCTGGAATTCTTGCTTTTTCTATGATCCAACGGATGTTGGCAATTTGATCTCTGGTTCCTCTGACTTTTCTAAATCCAGCTTGAACATCTGGAAGTTCTTGGTTCATGTACTGTTGAAGCCTAGCTTGGAGAATTTTGAGCATTACTTTGCTACCATGTGAAATGAGTACAATTGTGTGGTAGTTTGAACATTCTTTGGCATTGCCTTTCTTTGGGATTGCAATAATAATATACCTTTTCCAGTTCTGTGGCCACTGCTGAGGTTTCCAAATTTGCTGGCTTACTGAGTGCAGCACTTTCACAGCATCATCTTTTAGGATTTGAAATAGCTCAGCTGGAATTCCATCACCTCTACTAGCTTCGTTCATAGTGATGCTTCCTAAGGCCCACTTGATTTCGCATTCCAGGATGTCTGGCTCTAAGTGAGTGATCACACCATCATGGTTATCTGGGTTATTAAGATATTTTTCTTGTATAGTTCTTTTGTATATACTTGCCACCTCTTCATAATATCTTCTGTTTGGATATCTTAATCTTTTTCTGTTAGGTCCATTCCATCTGTCCTTTATTATGCCCATCTTTGCATGAAATGTTCCCTTGTTATCTCTAATTTTCTTGAAAAGATTTCTAGTCTTTTCCATTTTACTGTTTTTCTCTATTTCTTTGCACTGTTCACTTAGGAAGGCTTTCTTATCTCTCCTTGCTGTTCTTTGGAACTCTGCATTCAGATGGGTGTATCTTTCCCTTTCTGCTTTGCCTTTCACTTCTCTTCTTTTCTCAACTATTTGGAAGGCCTCCTCAGACAGCCATTGTGCCTTTTTGGATTTCAAAACAGTTTTCCCAATTAACATCAATCAAAAAAGCCTAACATACACAAATAATTCTTTTTTTTTGCATTAAAAAATTTTTTTTACTTATTTTTTAAAAATTTATTTTAGTTGGAGGCTAATTACTTTACAATATTGTAGTGGTTTTTGCCATAAATTGATATGAATCAGCCATGGGTTTACATGTGTTCCCCATCCTGAACCCTCCTCCCACCTCCCTCCCCATCCTATCCCTCAGGGTTGTCCCAGTGCACCAGCCCCGAGCACCCTGTCTCATGCTTTGAACCTGGACTGGCGATCTGTTTCATATGAACCTGGTCTGGTGATCTGTTTCATATATGATAATATACATATTTCAATGCTATTCTCTCAGATCATCCCATCCTTGCCTTCTCCCACAGAGTTCAAAAGACTGTTCTATGCATCTGTCTCTTTTTCTGTCCTACATAAAGGGTTATGGTTACCATCTTTCTAAATTCCATATATATGTATTAGTATACTGTATTGGTCTTTATCTTTCTGGCTTACTTCACTCTGTATAATAGGCTCCAGTTTCATCCACCTCATTAGAACTGATTCAAATGTATTCTTTTTAATGGCTGAGTAATATTCCATTGTGTATATGTACCACAGCTTTCTTATCCATTCGTCTGCTGATGTACATCTAGGTTGATTCCATGTCCTGGCTCTTATAAACAGTGCTATGATGAACACTGGGGTACACGTAACATACACAAATATTTCTATAGTGCAGTAAAAATGTATCATTTATTTTACATTTGCATTATGAAAATAAGTCTATACACCAAGTGATGCATATTTTTAATGACTATGAATCATGTAAATTTGGTCATGGTATCTAAAGTTGGCTTTGGCTTTAAAGTATTTTTAAATTCATAGAAAATAGTGAACTTCTAATAAAATAAATAAAATATTTTAATAATTGATATTAATAATCAACTTCAGAATTTGTCTTTTTCATTCGCCATTTAATTTTAAAAGAGAAGTCACTTTCAGTAGTGTTCCAAAGTGAGTGATTGCACCTTCTATGATGTGGAAAAGATCCGATTGCCATTAGCTGTTCCTAAGTGCTGAACATAGTCGAGAGCAACTGCAACAAGACATTCTCTGTCACTGGCAGAAACTCCGTTAGCGTCCTTGGCTGGGCCTCCCGAGCTCAGGGTTGGACAGACGGATGCTGATGCAAGCCGTGTTCTCTGAGACTCTCTGCGGAGCCCTGGTAGCAGGCTGGCGCAGTGAGTGAAGGAAGCCTCACTCTACAGCAATGGCATCAGGTGGTTCGGGATGGTGACCCTGGGTGTTCTCGCAGGCTCTGTGCGTCAAGGGGCTGATTGGCTAACACTGAAAGGAACGCTGGCCGCCCTCAGGAGTCCCCGGTGACCACGGGGTACCGCGCTATTCAGGGGGCGGGCGCAGGCTCCGCAGCTTCATGTCGTCCAGTCCTTTCCAGTATTTAAAATTGTTGTCGAGATGGTGCATTAACTCGGGCAGGTCTACAAAGGCTGCAAGGAAGACGGGAGTGTGGTAAGATTGCATCTTCCCGGGGTGCACATGGAGGCTTTCTAAGGAGAGGGACAACAGGAGGGGACAGTGCTCCGTGCTTGGCAGACATGGCACGGCCCGGGGCCTGGGTAAGCTGAAACCCCAGCTGACAGCTCTGGCGGATGGAGCAAAGGGGTTTGCCGGTTTTGTCACCATTAATGAGCAGCCTGGGGCCTGGGCTGCCTGATCCCGGCCCTGAGTGGCTCTCCTGGGCGTCCCATCCCCCTTCCTTGGTCCCGTCCCCTTCCACCTGCAGCACGTGGCACGAGCAGCGAGCTAGTGAAGAAAACATGGGCTGGGAGTGCCCCCGCCTGGTCTCGGCCCAGAAGCAGTGAGCAGAGCCTGCAGTCTGGCCGGAGGCCCGAGTGCCTTCCGCCACCTCAGTCCTCCGTCCCCCGTCTCTCAGCACCGAGACATGGGCTCGTCTCCTGCTGACGGGGTCCGGACTGGACGTGGGTCTGCCTCCCGGCAGGGCCCCTTGCCTCAAAACCCTCTACCTGCCAGGGGGCTCCGCCCGCACTGAGGGCTACGAGGAGGGACGAGCCCCCGTCAGAGACCGGCCTGCCCTCAGGTCGGCTACCGGGGGAGGCAGCGAAGCTGAGGGAGCGGACAGCGGACGCGCTCCCTCAGAACGGAAGTGGTTTTGAATCCGGGGCTTTTGGCCAGCAGCCCCTTCAGCCCCATGCTCAGTGCTCTCGTCTTTGTGACTGGGACAACAGGTAGCCCTGGAGCCGGGGGCAGCTGAGAAGAAAGAGCAGAGAGCGCCCCGTCCTCCCAGACCTCCTTGACCGCGCCTGGCTTCTCCTTGGCCTCTGCATACTGAGCCCCCAAACATACTCGACCACTCAGAACATCACTATGCGCTACTTAACGGGGGCTCCCCGTTACTGAGGGAGACCCATTCCGCGCGTTCTTACCGTCCCAGGCGTCAAACATGTCTGTGATGAAGTAGTCGATGAAGGAGATCTGGGATTTGGGGATGCTGCAGGTATTTCTGTCAAAAACTGGCATCACCACAGGCAAGTCCCGTTGCTTCTCTTCGTCTGTCTGCAAGGCAGAAAATGCCAGAATTGCGAGACCCCAGGACCAGGCTCCATGCCCACCAGGAGCATTCCCTCCACCAGAGCCTCTCCTGGCAGCCCAGAGAGCTCGTGGGAGAAGCCGGTCACAGCGCCAGCCAAGCACCTGGACCCTCCACGACATGTCACGTCGTCCCCAAGGGGTCCACCCCACCCACATCTTCGGCACCTGAAGCCTCCTGCTGAAGCTCCTGCGGGTGCTGTGCGGGGTTCCTGCAGTGAGCACACCAGTCTGCCCAGCCGTCGCCCACCTGTGGGCGTGTCAGGGGCCTGAGCCAGGGTCACAGTGCAGAGTGAGAAACAGCCCCCTCCACAGAGAAGGGACAAGTGCCTGCTTCTCACCTCAGGCCAGATTGTTTTATTTAAAAAAGGTCTGAACACCCTTGAGGCAAAAAGGCTCTAGGATGACGATTTTATGTACTTTGATAGACCCTTCCAGAACATCTTCAGTATTCCAATAATATGTGTACAAAATTGGAAATATAATGAAGATCCTGGTGGGGGGTGGGAGGCAAGTTTATCTTAAAAGATATAAGGGAAATTTCTTGTTCTTTGTTTTCATCATGTTTCTTTCATCAAAGGATCCAGGAGAAAGGATGAAGTGATGCCCGGAGGGTGATGATGAAGCAGGGGGTTCTTCCTGGACTGAAGTATGAACTCGGAGGGTTTGAGGGCACCACTGAAATCACTGAGAGTTCCCTGGGGAGCCAGGCAGCCAGGGCTGAGTTAAATAGATGGTTACCCAAGGGGCAGAATCAGGGGTCCCGAGTGCAGGACCAAGTAAGGCTGGGGTGAGCCTGGAGAGAGGACTGGAGCCATCCCCTGGTTCTGGAGGCACAGCTGTCCTCAGGGGTCCTGGGTCTTTGTTCTGTTGGTCTGAGCAGGCTGCCCTGTGGGCAGCTAGTGAGAAGGTGATGGAAGGGGCAGTTCAACACGGAAGACAGGCAGGGAGTCAACACTTAGGAAGCCTGGTGTGGGTGCAGGAGTTGGCTCTCTAGGGGCATCCAGCAGAGGGGGGTAGAGATCCTGGGATGAGTGGACCTGCTGACCAGTCCTGGCTTCTCTGGAGGATGGTCAATGAGAGCAAGGGCTGAGGACGGGAGGTATGCAATGCATTAGGCCATCAGCCAGAGCCTGGGTCTGGCGGCTGAGCTCTGTAGGGCTGTGTGAGAGTGAAGGACCTCTGTTAAGCATCTAATATGGGGACCAGAATTCAGGTGTTCCACGGGAGTAAAAGACCTACACTTGGGGCTGGAAGCCTGTCCCCCCAACTTTTATACCTGGAACTGTTCCCACAGGGCAAACTGGGCAGTCCTCCTTGTCCCCCCAGCCTAGGGCTGCTCTGGACAGCTGGCCAAGAGCTGCCTCCCCGGTTCCGTTCCGCTTCTATTCTGTCTTTTCCAAGGCCTGGCAATCACCAGCAGGGTGGCAGGGACTGGTGAGAAGTTACGGCCACCTTGCCCTGCACGTCGGTGGGTCTGAGGCCCAAGACGCTGGAAGAACTGGGCTCCACAGCTAAAGGCAGGGGGCAGTGATTCACTACAGCTCTCAACATGCACTCTCCCCTGGAGGACAACAGGTAACCTCTGGAAGTTCTCCCTGGGGGGGCCGTTCTGCATGTAGCACCGTGCTGCAGTGATGCGCTGATGCTAGGAGGTGCTGACTGTGCTGGGGACAGTGCCAAGGAAGAGGCCTGGGCTCCTTGTGCAGGTGGATGGTGCTAGGCTCTGGGCCAGGGGAGAAGCCAGCAGGAGGAGCCGCTGCTGTTCCAGGCCTGGGAGCCGAGGCACACAAGCTTGGCTGCAACTGCTCAGGCCAGGCTTTCCTGAGAGGCTGGGCAGAGACCATCTACACCAGCTGTCGGGCCAGGAGCACAGCCCAGGAGGCGTGGGAGGCAGGGTTGGGGGCTCTAGGCAGAGCATGAGTAGGGAATACTGACACGTCTGGGTTTCTGCTCTCAGGCCAGTGCTGGCTCAGCAGGGTCAGCTCCGTGTGCGTCTCTGCCCTGGTGCATGCACACGGTGGTGGGTGCAGAGCAGCCTCGGGTTCACAGCCCACCGGCCTGACTGCTCAGAGAGCAGGGCCCTGGGGTGGGTGCTCTCCTGACACGCCTTCCCTGGGCAGCTGTTCAGTTAAGAATCCCGCATCTGTGTTCCTGAGGGTAATGAGCTGTAACTTTCTCCTGGGATACCTTTGTCAGGTTTACATACCAGGATAATAACAGCTTCAGAAAATGAGTTGGAAAATGTCTCACCTCTGTTTTCTGGTTTAATTTGTAAGACTAGCATCATTTATTCCTTAAATGTTTGACAGAATTCCTCAATGAAATCATTTAGAGTTTTCTTTATTAAAAAAAAAATCATGAAAACATTTTGACAAAAAATTTCTTTACTATGGACTTTCTAAGGTTATTACTTAATCATGTCAGTTAGGGTAAATTGTATTGACAGTGTTTAAGGAATTCATCCATTTCATCTAAGTGGTCAAATTTATTGTGACATTCCTGATATTGGTGATTTGCATTCTTCTTACTTTAGCTGCGTATTTACCAATTTTGTTAATTTTGTCAAAAAAATCAACTTTTGGCTTTGAAAATTTTTATTATTCTTTTAAATATTTCTTAATTTTTATTTTATACTGAGTATAGTTGATTTACAATGTTGTGTCAGGCTCAGGTATACAGCAGAGTGATTCAGTTATACATATATCTTTTTAAAAAAACTTATTGGGGTATGGTTCACTTTTAATGTATTAGTTTCAGATGTATAGCAAAATGGATCAGTTATATATATATATATATATCTCCACCCATTTTTAGCTTCTTTTCCCATATAGGTTATTAGAGTATACTGAATGGTGTTCCCTGTGTTATACCATAGGAGCTTGTCGATTATCTGTTTTGTATACAGTAGTATGTATCTGTTAATCCCAAACTCCTAATTTATCCCTCTCCCTTGAAGTCTATGAGTCTGTTTATGTTTTGTAAATAAGTTGCTTTGTATCATTTTTGTAGATTTTTTCATAGAAGCTGATATGATATTAATACTTGTCTATCAGATTTACTTCACTTAGTATGATAATCTCTAGGTTCATCCATATTGCTATAAATGGCATTGTTTCATTTTTATGGCTAAATAATATTCCATTTTCTTTTCCATTCCTCTGTCGATGGACATTTAGATTGCATCCATGTCCTGGCTATTATACATAGTGATGCAGTGAACATGGGGGTGCATGTATACTTTATGATTTTCTTAGAATATATGCCTAGGAATGGGATTGCTGGATTATATAGTAGCTGTTTTTAGCTTTTTAAGGAACCTCTATACCTCCATAATGGCTTTACCAATTTACATTCCACTAACACTGAAAAAGCTGGCTTAAAGCTTAACATTCAGAAATCTTAAGATCATGGCATCTGGTCCCATCACTTCATGGGAAATAGATGGGGGAACAGTGGAAACAGTGTCAGACTTTATTTTGGGGAGCTCCAAAATCACTGCAGATGGTGATTGCAGCCATGAAATTAAAAGATGCTTACTCCTTGGAAGGAAAGTTATGACCATCCTAGATAGCATATTAAAAAGCAGAGACAACACTTTGCCAACAAAGGTCCGTCTAGTCAAGGCTATGGTTTTTCCAGTGGTCATGTATAGATGTGAGAGTTGGACTGTGAAGAAAGCTGAGTGCTGAAGAATTGATGCTTTTGAACTGTGGTATTGGAGAAGACTCTTGAGAGTCCCTTGGACTACAAGGAGATCCAACCAGTCCATCCTAAAGGAGATAAGTCCTGGGTGTTCATTGGAAGGACTGATGCTGAAGCTGAAACTTCAATACTTTGGCCACCTCATGCAAAGAGTTGACTCATTGGAAAAGACCCTGATGCTGGGAGAGATTGGGGGCAGGAGGAGAAGGGGACGACAGAGGGTGAGATGGTTGGATGGCATCACTGACTCGATGAACATGAGTGTGAGTAAACTCTGGGAGTTGGTGATGGACAGGGAGGCCTGGTGTGCTGTGATTCATGGGGTCGCAAAGAGTTGGACACAACTGAGCAACTGAAGTGAACTGAACAGTGTAGGAGCGTTCCCTTTCTCCAAGCCTTCTCCAGAATGTGTTGTGTGGAGACTTTGATGAACGTTCCTGACTACTGTGAGGTGGTAAATGATTATATTTTTGATTTCTATTTCTCTAATAATTAGTGATGATGAGCATCTTTTCATGTGCTTTGTGGCTATCTGTATGTTGTCTTTGGAGAAATGCCTATTTAGATCTGGCCATCTTTTTATTGGGTTATTTGGGATTTTTTTGGTTTATTTTGGAGATTAATCCTTGTCAATCACTTCATTTGCAAATATTTTCTCCCATTCTGTGGGTTTCTTTTCATTTTGTTTATGATTTCCTTTGCTGTGCAAAAAGCTTTTAATTAGGTCCCATTTATTTTCATTAATCTAGAAGTGGACCCAAAAAGATATTGCTGTGATTTATGTTAGAGTGTTCTGCCTATGCTTTCCTTTAAGACTTTTATAGTATCTGGTCTTACATTCAGGTCTTTAACCCACTGAGTTTTGTTTTTGTGTATGGTGTTGAGAGTTTTCCCAGCACCACTTACTGAAGAGACTGTCTCTTCTCCACTCTGTCTTCTCACCCCCTTTGTCACAGATTAAGGACCACAGGTGCGTGGGTTTATTTTTGGGCTATCTTGTTCCACTGATTTGTATTTCTATTTTTGTGCCAATACCGCACTGTTTTGATGACTATAGGTTCACAATATAGCCTGATGTCAGGGAGACTGATACCTCCAGCTCTGGTTTTCTTTCCTGGGATTGTTTTGGCTATTTGGAGTCTTTTGTGTTTTCATACAAATTTAAAAATTTGTTCCAGTTCTGTGAAAAATGCCATTGGTAATTTGGGAGAGATTGAACTGAATTTGATTGCCTTGGGCAGTATAGTAATTTTGACAGTATTGATTCTGCCAATCCAAGAAAGCCAGAAGCGTCCCAGCACTAGAGCCTGCAGGCTGCTGGGTGGGGACAGGTCTCAGTGCCAAAGCGGTGACCTCCAGGAGAGCTCAGCAGAGGAATATACCACAGGGCCTCCACCACTGGTGTTCCTGCCCCTGCAGTGGGCCACAACTGACCCCCACCTCCAGGAGACCCTCCAAGACCTGCAGGTAGGTCTGGTTCAGGCTCTAATGGAGTCACTGCTTTGCCCTGGGCCCCAGGGCTCATGAAACCTTGTGAGTGCCCTCAAGAGTAGAACCTGTCTCCCCCAGTCCTGTGGCGCTCCTGCACTCAAGCCAAATTCTCTGGGGGCTCCTCCCCCACCCCCCGCCCCGATGCCAGACCCCCAGGGTGGAAGCCTAATGTGGGCTCAGACCTCACTCCTGTGGGAGAACCTCTGCAGGTGTGGGATTTGATTACAACATGAAAGTGCTCCTCCCCCTGTCTTGTGGTTCCTCTTGGTCTTTGGGTGTAGAGTATCTTTCTAGCTAGGTGCCAATCCTTCTTTGATGAGGTTGTTCAGCAGTTAGTTGTGATTTTGGTATTTTCATGAGAGGAGAGGAGCTCAAGTCCTTCTACTCCACCATTCTGTCTCCTTTAATTTTTTCTAGTGTTTCTTTTCTGTTTCAATTTTTTGCTCTTATGTTTACTTCTTTCCTATTTACTTTGGGTTTACTTTGTCTCTTTCTAGTTTCTTAAACTGAAACCTAAGATGTTAACTTTAGGGCTTTTCCTCTAATTATAAATGTCCCTCTGATCCCTGTTTTGCTTGCATCCCACAATTTTAATATACTTTGATTAATCCTTTATCTGAACCATGGACTATTTAGAAAATGTATTGTCAGTTTCTGAATATTTGGTGTTTAGCTAGGTACCTTATTGTTACTAATTTCTGATTTAATTCCACTGTGCCTAGAGAATAGATTCTGTATGATTTCAATTATGTTACATTTACTGAATCTTTTCTGTGACCCAGCATGATGCATATTGGTGAACATATCAGTGTCCTTAATAAATATTCTGCAGACATGTGATACAGTGTTTTACAAACATTAAGTAAGGTAAGGTGGTTGACAGTGTTGTTGGGATTATGCATTTTTACTGATATTTTAATCTGGTTGTTCTATCAATTGCTGAAAGGGGGTATTAAAATCTCCAACCATGCTGTACCTGTCTCATTTATTTTGAAGCTCTGTTATTAGATACACACACACTTATGCTTATGTCTTCCTATAGGACTTTTTATCATGAAGTGTCTCACTTTATCTCTGCTACTATTCTTTGTCTTGATGTCTATTTTGTCTGAGATTAATATAGCCATTCTAATGTTTATATTTACAGCTTCCATGGTATATCTCTTTCCACCCATTCACTTTACACCTCTCTGTTCTTTATATTTTAAGTGTGTTTTGTAGACTGCATGTAGTTGGGATTATTTTTTTAAGATCCATCCTGTCTTGGAGTGTTTAGTTCACTAAATTTAAGTAAGTATTGATGATTAGAGTTGGAGCTGCCATTTGACTGTTTTTTTCTATTATTCTTGTTTTCTCCTGTTGCCTTTGTATAATTTAACAAATTTTAGAATTCCATTATAATAATATATCTATCTATTAGCTTTTAAGGTACACTGATTGCTCTAGGGATTACTAAATATATTCTTCACTTCTCAGTCTACTGAGCTAATATTATAATATTATAACACTTAATGTAACATGTAGAAACCTTGGATTCAGGTAGGTTCATTTTACTTTCTGCCATCCTTTATGCAATAGTTGCCATATAGCTTATGGTTACATATATTATATCCTTTACAATTCAGTGTTATAACTTGTGCTTAAAATAGTCCTATGTATTTAGAGAAATTCCAAGAAGGAAAAAACTTTTATAGTTACCCAGCTGTTTATCATTTTTTAAAGTGTTTTTATCTTTTTATTTTTACTGAGGAATTTGATACACAGCATTATATTAGTTTCAGATGTACAACATAATGATTCAAAATTTTCATATATTGTGAGATGATTACCACCATAAATCTACTTAACATGTCACTATATATAATTACAAAATTTGTCCTATAATTACAACTTTGAACATCTATTCTCTTAGTAGCAATACAGTACTGCATATTTGAAAGTTGCTAACTACAGTTCCCATGCTGTACATTACAACCCCATGACTTCTTTATTTTATAACTGGGAGTTTGTACCTTTTGACTCCCTTTAGCCATCCTGCATCCACTCAGTTAGCAACCACAAATTCTCTGTAAGATTCCACATATAAGTTAGATGATATAATAGTTGTCTTTTTCTATTTCACTTAGCATAAACCACTTAAGGTCCATCCATGTTGTCCCAAATGGCAAGATTCATTCTTTTTAATGGCTAAATAATATCCCATTATGTGTACACATACATACCCACATCATCTTACTCACTGACCTATCAATGGATGTTTAGGTTGCTTCCAACTTGGCTATTGCAAGTAGTGCTGCGGTGAACGTGGAGTGCATGTATCTTTTGGGGGTGGTTAATGCTTTTGTTTTCTTTGGATAAATACCCAAAAGTAGAATTACTGGATCACATGGTAGTTCTATTTTTAATTTTTTGAGGCATCTCCATAGTGGCTGCACCAATTTACATTCCCACCAACAGTTCACAAGGGCTCGCTCTTCTCCACATCCTTGACGATACTCATCTTTTTGATAGTAGCCATTCTAACAGATGTGAAGTGCTATCGCATGGTTTTGTTATTTACCATTTTCAGTGCTACTCTCTCAATCTGTCCCACCCTCTCCTTCCCCATGTGTCCACAAGTCTGTTCTCTACATCCGCATCTCTATTTCTGCCCTGCAGATAGTACTGTTTTTCTAGATTCAACATATATGCATTAATACATGATATTTTTCTCTTTGTCTTACTTCACTCTGTATGTGCCAGTCTCTAGGTTTATCCACCTCATTAGAACTGACAAATTCTTTCCTTTTACATGTAATGGAATATTACTGAAGCGACTGAGCACACACACACCACAACTTCTTTTATCCACTCATCTGTCAACGGACATCTGGGTTGCTTCCATGTCCTGGCTATCATAAACAGTGCTGCAGTGAATACTGGGGTACATGTAGCTTTTGAGTTATGGTCTTCTCAGGGTATATGCCCAGCAGTGGAATTGCTGGGTCATATGGTAGTTTTACTCCTAGTAATAGTTTAAGAAACCTCCATACTGTTCTCCACAGTGTGACAGTGTTTATTTTGCCTTCATTCTTGAAGGATATTTTCACTGGATACAGAATTTTAGGGTGACAATTTTCTCCTAACAACATTTTTAACATGTTGTTCCAATGTCTTCTGGCCTCCATAGTTTCTGACATGAAGTTATTGTAAGTAATATGTCATTTTTCTCTGAGTGATTTCAATTTTGTTTCTATATCTTTGGCTAGTAGCTGCTTGAGTATGACATATCTGGGTATGGGTAGATTTGTTGAGTTTCTTAAATCTGTATGCATATATCTTTCACTAAATTTGGAAAAATTTTAGCCATTTTATATATATATATCCCCCCCCCGCCCCCCACGAGAGTTTTTTTCTACCTAGAGAAACTGGGAGGGGCAGCTAACAGTGTAATAATATCTTTAAAGTGCTATTAGGAGAAAATGTCAAATATCCGTTGAAAATATCTTGTAAGAATGAAGGCAAAGGCAAAATAAAACACATTTTCAAATAAGGGAAAACTAATAAAATTCACTGCCAGTAAGCCTATAATATAATCAATGCTCTTCAAGGACAGAATTTCATTTAGAACTCCACTTCTAGTTTTAAGTCCATTACTTCCTATGGTCCTTATGGTGTTTCTCTCTTTTACTTGAGGGAACTTCAGAAGCTGCATCTTACCTGAGAGAAATACTCTTCTGAGATGCGTGCGGCCCACTCAATGCACTGCTCCAGGGGCCGGCAGGGGTTGGACACGTCAGCACACTTGATCAGCATCCGTTTGATCAGAGTCCGGTTCTCTGGAGTCCTGAGCATGGTGTTTATGGCTTCTTGATCTTTATCAGTTTCCTAAAGCATGAGTGGAATTCAAAGCAATCAAAACGGGACCCCAGGTACCAAGCCCTGTTTTACTGGTGTGGCCCCACCGTAACCACGGTGAGGCTCTGTCTGGGATCTACGGTTAGGGTCTCTCAAAATAGTGCCGGGGAAGCTCTGAGGTTGGCCCCCACTCTACAGCGGGGAAAACCAAGGCCGAGATTTCAGCAGACCCGGAAGTAGAGCACAGCACTGCTGGCATATCTGCCTTTCCCCATCTTGACTCTCTGTTTCTCACAGTTGCCTTTTCTTTCTATCACTCACTCGCTAAGTACTCAAAGACTGGCTTTATCTTTTCTTATTTATATTCATTAAAAAACAATGTGAACTGAAAAGTGAAACCTTTCTCTGCCCTTATAACAGGCAGTCTTGTGGTCTACCAGGGGCTCTGCTTCTCCCCACCCAGCCCTGGGAGTCCACCATCGGTGTACCACAGTGTGTCAGACACGCTGATGTTCCCTAAACTCTGCCCTCACATTTTATGGTGGACAGAGGACTTAGTCACAGTCTTGTGATCTGCACTCACAAAGATATCTTGTGGTAGGCATGAAAATCAGTATAATTCACCATTAAATTTTACAGATGAGGATGCTGGGACTCCAAGAGGTGAAGAGACTCAGCCAGAGGTACTGAGCTGACCCAAGATAAGAGCATGAGTCCTGCCTCTAGTCTTGGACTCTGTCTCTCCAAAGTAGTGCCTGCTGTCTGACTCACAGGGAGCCCCTCTGGAGATGGAGCCTCAGCCCATGGTGTGAGGGGCCCTCTGCTTACTGGCCCCCTGAAGCAAATTCAGGTTGGAAGAGGGAGTACTGGGTCGAAGACATGAGCAAGCATCTCTTCTTTCTGATCCTGGGCCCATCAAGCAGCTTTCCAGAGGAATCAGCCACGTGGTTTCTGTGAGCAGTCACAGTCATCCCCTCTCAGTGGGGATGAAGATGGGTAGGGGGGACCCTGAGCCCAGGCTGCCTGGTCTCTTGAAAGTGACAGAGACTGTGTCCTCAGTGATTCTCTGCATCTCCCACTGCCCACCAGCTTTGTGCTGACCCTCCTCTCTGCAGGGGTGTGATTGCTGTTCAGTACTGCCCGCTGGGAACTATTTTCTTCCACCAGCAATGACCCACTGGATCCTGGTTCCCAGTCTCTCAGTAAAAATCCAAGTTGTGACAGCAGAGAGGAGGAACATGACTGTCAAGAAGAAGAATGAAGACTCCGCTGAGTCTGCAACTTCCCAGAATGGATGGAGGAAGCCAAGTCTGTGAGGTACGTGGTTTCTTTCTGTGAGGTGGGGTCAGCTGGGGTGTCTGTGCATGGGAGAATGACTGAGTCCTTGGAAAGGGCGTCAAGTCTCTGACAGACTGGAGAACAGGCAAGGATGAGGAGAGCAGAGTTCTCACCAGGTTTCAGATCAGGTGAGACAGGGACAAGTGTGAAGGGTGATAAACTAGAAAGCCAGGGACAGACAAAAGCCACAGCCAAACAACTGAGCTGCAGCAGCAGAGTTGGAGCTCAAAGGGCTCTCCTCTTGGGATAAGTCATCTCTGTGCTCGCAAAGACTGGCAGGGGGGTGATAGGGGTTGGGGAGGAGGAACGTGGGGTTGGTGGTCGGGCAGACATGGGCCTCAGGGAGAGCATGTTCTCCATGTGCTGTGCTCACACTGAATTGAGCACAACAGGTGCTGTTTATCCAGAGCATAGCTTGTGCCACGTCCTCAGGGTTGTGCCTTGAGGGCCATTGTGCCTGTTTGAGACAAGGAAGTGGAGAAGGAGAGCTGAGAACTCAGACTGGCTGCTTTCTCAGCTGTGGGCTCCTGTCTGGGGAAGCAGTTAATGTTCTTCTCTTGCCAGAAAGTTCTGGACTCCATGCCTCAAATCCAACAACACCAGCACCCTGTGGTCCAAATCCAGGAGCCTCCCCAACCCCCACCCTCCTGTGATACAAACCAGCAGAGGACTGGTGCGGTTGCCCAGCAGGCAGTGGCTGGTGAGAGACCTCATGGCTCCAACTGACCCCAAGATGCTCAGAGAAGGGGAATGGGGCACCTGCTGAAAAAGGGTGCAGGAATGGCCCACCCGTCTATCATCAAGTCCCTTCAGAATTGTCATGTTTTTTCTTGTATGTCTTGCCAAGTCTTTGTACTTTAATTTCCATTGGTTAAACAATTATTTATATGCAGTGAGCCCAGTGCGGGGATTATAATACTCATGATCTCTTAAGCCCAGGTTTCCCCACAACACACAAGATGAAGGGCCCTAAACACAGACTCCATTTGCAGTCAGCTCACTTACCCCATCTTCTTCTAATGCTACCAAGGGCTTGTTGATGATGTTGACAAATTTGTTGACATGCTCAAAGTGCTTTGTCATTTCTGTGGCTAAGACCATGTCAATGATGCCCTGGCGCAGAGTCTGGTAGTCATTCCTGTTCAGACAACAAACGAGAGGCTGCTGCTGATTACTGATCCAGACCAGACAGGTGCTCCTGAAAACCAGCTGTGATCTAGGACCTGTGTCCACTGCAGCTGAAATTCTAAGGAACTGCGCAGCAGTGGCAAGGCATGCTTTAAAGAATGTGAAGGTTAAAGGTTGCTGCCTAGACTGCTATTAGTAAGGAGAACCTGAACAGAAGTTAAAATGAGAATCTTTGGGCAAAACTATGTGGTTCCCTGGTAGCTCAGCTGGTAAAGAATCTGCCTGCAATACAGGAGACCCCAGTTCTATTCCTGGGTTGGGAAGATCCCCTAGAAAAGGGATAGGCTACCCTCTCCAGTATTCTTGGGATTCCCTGGTAACTCAGATGGTAAAGAATCTGTCTGCAATGCGGGAGACTTGGATCCCCTGGGGAAGCACATGACAACTCACTCTAGTATTCTTGCCTGGAGAATCCCCATGGACAGAGGAGCCTGGAGGGCTACAGTCCGTGGGGCTGCAAAAAGTCGGACATGACAGAGTGACTAAGCACAGCACATGCGTAAGACTATGGATACAGTGTTGGTAGTGTTGTCATAAGCAAAAGGCATATAGTTCTTAAGATTAAAGAAAAGCTAGAACACAGCCAGTTGGGGTTATGAAGAACGTACCCCACACAGAAGAACCTTGAGACGCAACAATTTTAGAGTCCAGAAACACAGAGGGTAGACCATCTGAAAGCTGAGAGAATCAATGGTGCGTACCTGATTCCTCCTCCTCTGGCCGTTTATATTTATTTTAAAAATTTATTTTTTGAGGATTGAAACCATTTAATTAAAAACATAAAAGGTACAAAGAGTATAAACTGAACTCTATGCAGCTATGCTGTTCTTTTCCCTGGAGACAGTCATAGTTGTCAGGGTCTTGTACATTTCTCCAGAGATAACTGATGTATGTGTAAGCAACTATGAAAGAAACCAACTTTAAGTCCACATATGAAATTCTAAAACATAGAAAAAAATGGAGGTTTTTTAAAAAAATCCCTTAGGTTTAATAACTTCCCTTGAAATCCAAATTAGTAAGAATCCCTCATGACAGATCACTTCTGTCTAACAGCCCCACCCTAGACACTGCTGCTGCTAAGTCACTTCAGTCGTGTCCAACTCTGTGTGACCCCATAGATGGCAGCCCACCAGGCTCTGCTATCCCTGGGATTCTCCAGGCAAGAACACTGGAGTGCGTTGCCATTTCCCTCTCCAATGCATGAAAATGAAAAGTGAAAGTGAAGTCACTCAGTTGTGTCCGACTCTGCGACCCCATGGACTGCAGCCCACCAGGCTCCTCCGTCCATGGGATTCTCCAGGCAAGAGTACTGGAGTGGGCTGCCATTGCCTCCTCTGCTAGACAGTGAGGGCACCATGAAGAAGAGAAGACACTGTAATCTCACAGCATCACCAATCAGACATGAGAAGTTTGCTGGGCAGAGTTTGTTGGGAGTCTGCCAGGCAGAGATGTAAGATGACAGCTTCTGAATCTGTCAAGGTGTTGGCCTTACACTGTTGTCTTGAAATGTTCAGGACACAAAGGAACTGAACCTTGAAAACATCATGCAACACAGAAGACCACATCCTCGGGTGCTTCCATTTGTCTGAAATGCCCAGAACTCACAAAGCTACAGAGGCGGAAGGTAGATCAGTTTCTGCCTACCAGGGGGCAGGAGAATGACTGCTCAGGAGCTCAAGGTTCCTTTGGGGGTGATGGAAATGTTGTAGATGTCGACTATACAGATGGCTGCACAACTTGGAATATACCAAAAACTCTGCACACTTTAAATGGGTGAACTGTACAGTACCTAATTATATCTCAACAAAATTCTTTTTTAAAGAGCAAAAGGAAACATACTTTCCAGCTCACTGTTCTTACCTCTCCATGTTTTTAAAGATGTTGCATTTGTCATCGCCAGTGGTCAGCTGGAAGGCCAAGGCCGCATGGTGGTGCTCCAGCACAGCCATGTCGTTGTACAGAATGGCCAGCTCGCTCCCGGCATTGCACAGGAAGGAGTTGGTCCTCCCAGGGTGGTCCACGTCGTGGATAGTGGCTGCGATGAGCGCAGCGACCTCATCAAGTGGGTCTAAAGTTTGCTGAAAACAAGAGTTCTTTTAAAAATTGGGGCATGGCACTGAAAGCAAGGTAGCCTTCTGTGTAGTTCTCTTTCTGCCCTTCTGACTTTAAGGTAAGAATACTTCAAACTTCTGAGAAAAGCACAGTGTGGAGCAAATCCAGTTTTCCTAACTCTACTCAGAAATAGTTTCATCTTTGCATGTTTCAGAGGAAACATTATCAGATTCTCAGTCTCACACAAGTTAGGGATTTACCAAGACACAGGATGTCCTCACCCGACAGGAGTCACCTCCTCAACCAGTCTGTCTTTAGACCCATCACAAAAAAAGGTCCTTCGTCTGAGGTATTGACTTACTACTTCGAACATTACTTTGATTTAAAACTTTATCAATTGGGAAAGTAAGATCCCACATGCCATGTAGCATGGCCAAAAGTTTTCATTTAAAACTTTAAGTACAGAAGTGCATGGTACTTTCTTCTAGTATTCTCCATTTCTAATGTGTATATTCCTGTTTTCTGTATTTTTGATTAGTCTGGCTTGCAGTGAATTCTCTTGGTTGTTTCAAAGAACAATCCCAGATGATCACTTTGCTCTTCTCATTCTATAGGTTTTGATACATAGGTTTCTCATTTTGTTGTTTTCTGTTATTTTTGGTTTTATTTCTTTGTTTAACCCCAATTTGTTGGAAATATTTTCTCATATGCAGTGGCTGACATTTTTTTATTTAAGTTTTTTTGAAGTATATCAAGACTGTGTCTTAGTATCAAGATCATTTCTGGAAATATACACCTTTTCTTCAAGTGTTTGTAGGATATCTAATAAACCAGCCTTGTAAATTTACTTAAATTGAAATTCAATAGTTTTAACTTAAAAAAAGGTTTTTTTGGCCATGCTGCATGGCATGTAGGATCCAACCAGGGACTGGACCTGCACCACCTGCATTGGAAGCATGGAGTTTAACTACTGAACCACCAGGTAGTTTTAACTTTAAATGGGTGAATTTTATGATGTGAATTACATCAATAAATTGTTAAAATTAAGTTATTAATAGCTTTCTGAATGTGTATTTGTATGTTATTGATCAAAGAGTTTCAAAAGCAGTAAATTACAGCAAAAATTAGGTTGCCTTTATGCTGAACCACACTGACATAGATGTCTGTCCTCCGCCCTCTGTGTTCATACTTTATAAAAACAGATCTCTCCCTGGACTCTTGTTCTACCTACGGTCTTAGTCATGACCTTTAGTTAAAACAACATCAAAAAACCACCAAACAACACAACGAGAGGGAGGCTGGACTTGCCTGCCCTGCACTTGTGCCGGGAGGCTGACCTGTCTCATTCCTCATGAGGCCCTGATTTCTCACTGATTCTCCGATCTCAAGTACTTCCACAAGTGAAACGGTCATGCACTAGTGCTCCCTAGGCCTTCTGTGCCAGTTTATGGAGGATGCTGATGGAAATACTAATAATACAAATATTCTGGCAAAGCAGTGCATGTCTAGTTGCTGCTTTCGACATTTCCCTAATGAAATAGGTTACAATGTGAAAAGCTTTTTTAGGAAGCTTGGTTTGGAAGTGGACAGTGAGAGAAGAAAGTGCCATCCAAGGCACTCTGCTAACGCCCTTACTGTGACACAGTCACATTCCCTTTGCTCCTGAGCCCTCAAAGCTGGAGCTAAAGTGGCTCCTATTCTAAGGTGGAATACCCAGGGCCACGTTGGGAATTAGTTATCCACTCCCCAGAGCCAGGGTGTGGTCCTGCTTCTCAGGAGGCCGCACCCTTCCAGGGCCAGACTGTACCCTACACCCTGCATCCTACCCCTGCTGTGAAGCACTGGGCCCCAGCACAGCTCACCTTGATCCTTTCTTTGCACAGAAAGTAGGCAGTGGCATGCAGCACGTCAGCAGAGTGTGTGGAGTTGTGGTAGGGGTTGGAAGCGTGATAATTGGCTTCGATCATCTGTAACCAGGATCTCAGTGTCATCTCGGGGCATTTTAAGAATTCACAGACTCCGAAGCGAGCGAACACTTTGAGACCAAGATAAATCAAAGGCCTATAGAGAAAAACATACACATCATTAAATCAAAGTAGAGAAACAGGTAGTGTGTCTGATCTGTTCAGATCCAACAAGCAAACCTGAGCCAGACTTCAGGGAGCGAGCGGGGCAGCAAAGTGGGGCCTGTGAGGGTGGCCTGCAGCGGGTGCTCTGTCATCCTCTCTCCTGGTGGCCAGCACCAGCCCTGGGCAGAGCCCAGCTGCAATTCTGGGGGCACCCGCCTGGTGCTCCCCACTGCCCTAGCTGCTGCAGAGTCCTCCCGGCACCAGGAGGGTTTCCAGGTCAACGTGCTGCCAGGCTAACCCCATCCTCCCCTGTGGCCTTGCTGGACGTGTGTCACTGGCCAGACGTCTTGCTGGAAGCAGATACCAGTTCCCCACGGCAGCACACCAGCCAGACGCTGGAACACATCACGTGATGGTCTCAACACTCTGGAGGTGGGGGTTTCCCCAGACAGGTGACCAGATGATGCCAAATGAGGCCCGTCCTTGAGAGTCACCGTCACCCAGCCTCTGGCCTTTGCTCTTGGCTCTGTTGAGGCAGTGTCCAAACCGGCTGGGCTCCCAGGACTTGGACAGACCTGCCCCGTCCCAGCTCACATTAGGACGTAAGCCAGTGCCCACAGCTTTGTCTGCCACTGGCACTGGCCCTGTGGGGCACGCGGATGCAGAATGTCTCAGAAGCTTGACTTGCGCTGAGTGTGAGCAAAGGGCGGGGCTGTCACGGGGACCACCACCCACCCGGGTTACAGGACACGAGTCTCCTGTAACCGTCTCTCTCTGCCTGTCTGCTGGGGTCCACGCCTCACCTCCTGAAGGGCGGCGCTGGCTGGCATCAGGTCTGAACGCCCTTCCCGTGTGCCAAGCCAACCACACTCCTCTAGCTGAGTGTTCTCCAGTGAGGTATGAAATGGGAGGGGAAACCCAACCCTGCCCTGCTCTTGGGGACCACACTCAGGTCAGGATGCTGGAGTGTGGGGTGTCCTCATGCCTGTCACGAACACAGCAACCAAGATCTGGGGACAGCTCTTATCAGCATGCACATCTGTGTATTTATTTATTTTTCTGGCTGTGCTGAGTGGCATGTGGGATCTTAATTCCCTGACCAGGGATCAAACCTAAGATCCCTGCATTGGAAGCGTGGAGTCTTAACCACTGGACTGCCAATGGTTCTGAGCTCTGAAGTGAGGCTCTTTGTGGCAATGTCAGCATATCACTACTTAATACCTACAGGAGAAATTAATAATCTTATCTTACAAAAAGAAAACCTCTGCTACTTGGAGACTCCGAGTAAGTCACTTGCTCTCTCTGCGGCAGTCATGGCCAGGTGAACTCCCCTTGGCTTCTCCCTGATTCCTCGCTGACGCTGAGGCCCTGGAGACTCAAGGTACCTCTTGCTCTTTTCCTGGGGCCTCCTCCCTGTCCAGGGACTGGCTCTGAGCAGAGCCTACACTCCCGGAGAGGCTTTCTCCACACTCGCCCTTGGACTCAAACTCCCTGTCTGCTGAGCTTCCGTGGGCTCACCTTTTATGAGTGGCAGCCTCCAGTTCAAAAATATTGAAGTCCCAGTATTCCTCCTTCTCCATGGCCCGAGTTATCTGTGATGGGACATCGTGAAGGGAGACGGGGACGATGCTGCTGCTGGGAGCCTGCTGGAGGTCTGCAGGGTGAACAGAACGGAACCAACAGGCGTGACGGCGTTTGCGGTCCCTCAGAGGGCGGATGCTTTGTTTCTCAGGGTTTATGATAAACCAAAAACTTACTACCGATAAAAAAAACCCAAAATTATTATCTGAAAATTTCTCTTCATCACTTAAGTGTGGCTATAATACTAATCAAAGTATTAGTTGCTCAGTCGTGTCCGACTCTGCAACCCCATGGACTGTAGCCCGCCAGGCTCCTCTGTCCATGGATTCTCTAGGCAAGAACACTGGAGTGGGTACCTTTCCCTTCTCCAGCGGATCTTCCTGACCCAGGGATGGAACCCAGGTCTCCTGCATTGCAAGCAGATTGTTCACTGTCTGAGCCACCAGGGAAGCCCCAGTAGTATTAGCTAAAATACTAATAGCAATCCAAAAAACTAAAAAGGAAAAACTTACTTTTTGTTGAAAGAACATACTCATTCCCAGATAATCTTCGCAAACCATCCTGATAAAAACCAAGACAGAAGGTGACAGATGGTAATGGAATGGTCTGTTTCCCACAGAGCTGGAGGCCTCTATTCTAGACGGCTGGAGGCGGCACCTGGAGCCCACAGGCCAGAGCCTCCGGCTAACACCTGATCCCCCAGCCTCCTCCCATGATGTCACCTAGTCTGTACAGGACGCTCTGGAGGGAGCCAGTCGTTCTGTAATGTGGTATGAAACACTTCATATTTTTTTCTGCCCCAGTTTTCAAAATCTTCAAATTTTATTTAAATCAACTACTTGTAGAGCCCTTAAGTAAAAATGGAGACCCAACGCAGCAAAGCTGGCTGTCCTGAACACGCCCCTCCCTCTGTTCCAAGCGGAGGTCCCGCCGTACCCCCCACCCCACCCCCGGACAGGCCGCAGGTGGGTGACGGCTCAGCCGGAGGGCAGCTGAGCCTGGGCAATGGATGATCTAGGCCTTGGCTGACCCCGCACACAAAGAGCGCTGTGTGGGGCAGGATGTCAACAAGCAGCCTCAGAAAACAGGCGAGAGCAGCGGGACCGAGGCGGCAGCCTGTCAGCACACTCACAGACACCAGGCCCCCGACGAGGTCGTTGGCGTGAGGATCATCGTCCTTAGCACCGAACTGGGGTGAATATAATTCAGTGGTTCTTAGAATTTCCAGCACACGGTCTAAGGCTTCTGTCACAGGCATGGGACTGCTTTCCTGGGCAGCATTGATGATATTGATGACCTACAATAATACGGAAAGAAAAGTCCTGACTCTCATCACCTTAAAGGCAATGAGAGAGCAATCCAAAGAGTCGGGCTGGCAGTGGGGCTCATTGTTAACTTAAGACAGTCAGAGTGCTCCTGTCGCCCTCCTCTCTCCGCAGAGGCAGCAGCTCCGCACAACTAGGGGAGCCTCATCACTGTTGTGGGTCGCCGTGTCACCTTGGTGATAGGTGCCTCGATCGTCATGGAATGAATCCGGGCCATGGAAGAGTGTCGTCTCTGGCTGGAAACTGTGGAGAGACCAGGTGGTGCAGGGATCAGGGAGAGGGTGGCCTCAGTCACTGTCTCCCACCCTCCTCCAGGCCCGAGTGAAGGGGCAGGACCAGAGCTACCCGGAGGCTTAGCTCCCTCCCCATCCTACCAAGCCCGGGATTCTGGCAGACCAACTCTGCCTCCTTTGGTTCAAGGCACTGGGAGGCATGTGACCCCCTAGACTGAACCTCTGAGGTCACAGGCCAGCGAGAGGACAGAGGAAGCCATCTAGCAAGTCGAGGCCACACATTAGCCTCTCTGTGTCTGTAACAATGACGTTTTATAACTCAGCTTGCTGCTACCCAGGAGAGAAGCGTTCTGAAAGACAATGCCACATAGGCCCTTTGTTTCATATGTGGCGGGAACAATAAATACAACTCAATTAACTGAAATCCGCGAGTATTTCTGGTTCAGTTTTTCAAGGCATCCTTTGGTGCTTTCCACTGTTCTGCTTGAGATTGTTACCTAAACTGTCTAGATTAGCTGAGGTAGGTGGCAGGTCTTACGCTCTACTGTTTGTTAATTTTTTGTTGCTCCTGTCAAGACCCAGTTCCTCTGGGGTGGGGAGAAGCCTGGGCGGTGAACGGGCAGGAAGAGACACTCAGTTGTGTTCTGTCTCTCCCTGAAAGCCCCACTGTCCAGCCACATGCTGTTTACCAAAGGCCAGAGACGACCACACACTGCTCTACCCGCTGAGATGTCAGCCTTATTTTACCGAACAAGGGCCTGAGCAGAAACAACCAGGACTAACCTACTCAGGGGCTCTCACATGCTTTAAATTGCAGAGACCAACACAAACTCCCTAAATCTAATGCTGGTGACCGACACATGGATGCTATCTTTCCATTTTACCCAACAAGCATTAAACCAAAAGTAGAAACCACTATTCTATCCCTATGTCATAATAGGACTTGTTCTCACTAAAAAAAATATAGTGAAGGTGACATACACAAACCAAACAATACAGTCAATACAATAAGGTGAAAAAGAATAAAGATTGTTGTGACTATGTGTGCAGAAAATCTGAAAGACTCTACAAATGCTACTCTGATTACAATCAGTAAGTTTTATCAACGTTACTGAGTGGAATGTTAACACACAAAAGTCAACTATATTTCTATATATTAGCAACAAACAACTGGAAACTAAAATAAAAAAACCATCATGAAAGTATGGAAAAAATCAGTATTTAGGAATAAATCTAATGGAAATTTAAGTACAGGACTTATACACTGAAAATGCGAAACACTGCTAAGGAAGAAAAGACAACCTAAATAAACACAAAGAGCATGCTCATGTTTTGAAAGACTCAGTATTATCAAGATTTCAAGTTTCTCTTGATCTATAGATTTAAGACACTCCCAAATAAAATCCCAGGAGGTTGTGTGTGTGTGTGTGTGTGTGTGTGTGTGTGTGTGTGTGAACTAAGTAGCTGATTCTAAATGCTATATGGAAATGCAAAGAACATAGAATAGTCAGGATAACCTTGAAGAATTTTACCAGATATCAAGACTTACCATATAACTGTAGTAACTGATCATGGTATTGGTGCAAGCAAGGACTAATGGAACAATGAAACAGAATACATGAGTCCAGAAATAGACCATATATTTATAGTCAACTGGTTTACAAGAATGATACTATAGGAAAAGATGGTTTTTCAATATGGTGATGGGACAGTTGGGTTTCCCTGTAGGGAGAAAATTCATCCTTGATCCTTACCCTCACTCAATATAAAAACTGATTTGGAATGAATCATAGAGCCGAAGTGAAAGATAAAACAATAAGGCTTATAGAAGAAAGTGTGGGAGAATAGTCTTCATGACCTTGGGATAGAGAAAGAGTTCTTAAACAGGACACAAAAAAAGCACTAGGTATAATAGAAAACACTGATGAAATGAACTTTAAGATTCATTAAGAACCTCTGTTCATTAAAAGACTTAAGAGTGAAAATGCAATCCACAAACTAAGAAAAGTATGTCTGGAATACTTATATCCACATCTAGAATATGAAAAGAATTCCTACAACCAACAAGCAAGAGATAACCCAATGATAAAAATGGGCAAAATTTATGAATGTCACTTCACAGAAGAGGATATCCAAATGTCCAGTAAGCATATGAAAGGGGTGTCGTATGGAAAATTAAAATTAAAACCACATCTGGTAGAGTAACTATAGTTTAGAACCTAGTGTAACCCAGTATGAGAGAATGAGGAGCAACTGGAACACTCAAAGATGAGTGATAGCATGAGGTACAACCCATGTCGGAGAACTGTGCACAGGTGCCCAGAGGCCCCACAGTTCCAGTCCTAGGGGATGGACACACATTTCCACAAAGAAAGACTTGCATACAAGCATTCACAGCAGCCTTACCTGTAAGAGCCCTCACACGGAAAGATGAACACAAAAAGACCATTCCTAAGAGAATGGATAACAAATTGTGACGTATACAAACAATGAAGTGCTACCAAGCAATAGAAAAGAACGAACTGCTAATACCCCCAGCAACGTGGATGAACCTCCAGAACGCTAAGATGAGGGAAAGGGGCCATACTGCGTGTATACTGTACGATTCCATTTCTATGAGGCACGAGAAGAGGCCAAATTAACTCATGTGCAAGAAATCAGTGGATGCCTCTGTGTGGTGAGATCTGTATGCGAGTGCAGGCCTGCATGTGTGTATTTTCCGTATCTAGTTTGGGGTGGGTGGTAAACAGTCTATACAGGTCAACGGTACAGAACTGTCAAAACATATTGAACTCAACACTTAATATGAATTACATGTAAATTGCAAGTCAATCAAAAAGAACAGAGGTTAAAACTCAAAAACATTAAAAGAAAAATGTTTAACTCTTCAAAATAGAGAAATGGACAAAGTAACACAAAGGATGAAGAGGAGTCAGAGTGTGGCAGCGAGGACAGTCTGCGGCGTCCGAGTGGCCTCTGCTCTGCTCAAGGGCTGTGCAGCGAGGACCATGGTGAAGATGGTGCCAGCAGCTGCCACAACCCCTGCCAGGCACCGCACCCCCTCAGTTAATCCTTACACTGTCCGCTGTGGACAGAATTATCCCCATCTGATGATACGGAAAGGGAAGCTCTCAAGGCCACTTCCAAGGCTGCACAGAGAGTAGATGAAGCTGGGACCTGAACCAAGGTCAAGCTGAGGCCTCAGTCCACACACTTCCCTGCACCACCTCTGCCCCCTGCCCCTACAGCAGAGGCGGGGAATCTATTCTTTATTCCCTGACTCCATCAGAAGGGTCAGATGAACCTACTGGCAAAGAAGTCAGGGGCAAGGGAGAAATGCACGAAGACTTCTACAGGGGCCCCTCCCGTCTGCTGAGCTTGAGGGTGGGGGCAGTGACCCAGACAAGATAAGGAAGGGAGCCCTCATGTTTCCATGTGCCCACCACTCAAAGAAGCACATTTTTTTCCTCTTGTCTTTGTCACCTACCTTCATTTGTTCGAGAGGCAACAGTTTTGACATCTAGGGAGCTTTTTCTCCTGTCTTTATGTTTGCCTGACTGATTATCTGTGGAAATAAATTATAAATTACCTCCGTGAAGAGATTTTAACAACATATTACTATAATAACCAATATGAAAGCTTTAAAAGACAAAATTTAAGATTTAGAATACCACTTAGGATGCTGCAAAAATCAACACAGTACACCAAGATGAAGTCTCTAAACAACTGGGCTTAAGGGAGACAAACTTTCTCAAAAAATTTTCCACTCACCATAAACGAGGGCTTTTCAATTTCTAGATTGTGTAATTACAGAGTCTCAGGCCACAAAAATGAACTCAGAATTTCACCTACTTCTACGTAGTTGAACAAGTGGTGGGAAAATTCTGATCCCCATCCACCCTTGCCCAAAGTGAAAAAATCTTTTCTGTGTTTTTTCCACAATACAAGCCCTAAAATGTCCCAGGGGAGACTATGCCTCTCTTCTGGAGACAGGACAGGGAGTGGTGGTCTGGGATCTACTTCTCTGAGACCCATTTCTGTGGATGGCACCACTGACCCTCCAGCCCAAACAGGAGCTGTCTGACTCCTCTCTCCCCCGGAGCCCACACGGATCAATGACAAGGCCAAGTTAACCTTCCTTCCTGAGCCCTCCTGGGTGTCACCCGGGGTGCCAAGCCTCTCCAGCCTGTTCTCATTTCACAGATGAGGACACTGGGAGCCCTGTGAGATGAGCTTGGCTCTCCCTTTTCCCACTGGCAGTTCCAATTGTCTCTGCTTTCTCCTGGCTTCCTCCCCTGGACTCTTGCTCGCATACAGGATCCAAAAGCAGGCCCTTAGTACTCCTCTCCACCATCCAGAACCCTCTCCACTTGCTCTCTGGTATGTTCTCTTCTATGGGGGCACTGGCAATGACCTTGTTAAGGTCGCCGATGACCTTACTGTTACTACCTCTGAAGGACTCAAGTCCGTCGTTACCTGACTCTTCTGACTTGTGTACTAGACACTAGTCAGTGCTAGACTGAGCTCGCTTTCTGAAAACTGCTCTGCACACATCCACTCTGGCTTTCCCTGCGTCTCCTGCTGTTCCATACTGGTCTCCATCACCATGTCTCCTGTTCCTCAGCACCCCGGCGTTCCCATAGGTTCATCCTCTGCACCCCCTTCTCTTCTCAGACAGCAGAGTCTCCTCATTCTTCCCCACAGCCTTTACTCAGTCCCGTGCTGTCGTATCCCGGGCCTTCCTCCCGAGCCCCAGACTTCCATCCTCCCGGGTCACTCGTCACTTCCATGGGGACACCCCTCAGCACTTCAAACGAGCTCGTCGTCTTCTCTCAGGTCACTCCTCATCCCAGTCACTGGGCAGCATCTACCTTTCCACTTAGCTGGAGACAAGTCATCCTTGACGGCTCCCTGCTGCTCTCCCTCAAGTGTTCAGGTGTGATAAATGTCTAGATTCCACCTCCTAAACGTCTCTCCCCACTTCTTCCCTGTCCAGGCTCAGACACCTGTCAATTGCCCTCCGGGTTATAGGGACAGCCTGCCTCACCGGTCCTACCAGCCCCAGCCTTGCTCCCTACGACACATTCTCTCCAGACAGTGCTCACTCTTCTGATGAAAACATTTTAATGGTGCTTCACTGTTTTTAGGGTCAGATGTAAATTCCCCAGTGTGGACCCAGGGTCCCTTGTGTCTGAACGTCGTCTCTCCAGCGACCACGAGTTACCTATGATGTGCTAGGTCACCTCCCAGACCTCTCCGCCATGGCACTAACTGCTCACCCCCACTTAGGAAGGCGCCCCTCCTTGGCTGCCTTCTCCGCCTGGTTAACACTCCGCCCTCTTGGAGATGCAGGTCAGATGTGGTTCAGGTATCCTCCCCTCTGGGGAGCCTTCCCCTAATGCCCCAGCCCCACCCCGACCCCCACCCCACCAGGAACCACGGGCTTTCCTGTGCAGCTCCCTCACTAATTGTGAATGACATGAAGGCAGAAATGACCTTTCCCACCCCTTCCTGGGTGACTAGCACTGCCAGCACACTGCAGATGCTCAACAGACACGCATCTGCTTCTCCAGACATGTGCACACACACAAACCAGAGCACCACTAATAAACCACTCTGAGTCCATGGCTCGCCTGCTCAACACCCTCAGCACCTCAGAGGTAAAGAGGAACTCCCTGGCAGTCAAGGACAGGAGCAGTGTGCTGGTTGCAGCCATCCGTTGATCTCTCGCAGTCTTGCCCACAAGTGAGCTGCAGGGACACAGCTCTCCTGTCTCAGGGAACAGCCTTGACTCTGCTCCTCCGCCTCCAACCGGGGACACGGTGTCCCGCCCAAATGCTCATTACCCCATCCAGCCACACCTACTCTAACCACTCAGACTGCAGCGTCAAGGAGATTGGTGTCCAAACAGCGGGCTGCGGGCTGAGAAGGTGCGCTGTGACCTCCTGCAGTTCCCTCCTTCGTCTCCCTTTCTGCCACTCAGCAAGCATTCGCTGAGCGCCTGGGGCAGGTCAGGCTCTAAGGCAGGCACCAGGGATGTGAAGACGACTGAGGCTGCTGCCTCCAGATGGAGACCCTCATTTCCCTCCAACACCGAAAGACCCTCCACAATCCCACCTCCTTCCCACACTGATCTTTTGTACCAGTTGGAACGTTGTCCCGCTCTTTGTAGAACACACTGCACTCTCCCTCTTTAGTCACTGTTCTTACATCTGGATCGCTTTTCCTCTGCATCCGTCTCCTCACTCCAGTCCACCTCTCCCTGTCTGGAGCTTGCCTCGCTCCCCTGCCTTCCTCCCCAGTAACGGTCATTCTTGATCACTTGCTGTGTGCCCCTGCTGTCCATATGTCCCTCCTCTTTTCAGGTTAAAGCCTAATCACTCCCAGTGCCCAGGGGAACTGTCCCAGCACATGCCTCAGACTCCTGGAGCTGGCCATCTGGGCTTGAGTGCCAGCTGACCACTTCCTAGCTGGATGTCCCGGAGCAAATCATGGGGCTTTTCATCTCCTGTCTGTAAAAAGGGAGCCTGGTCTGTAAGGTGTCTCCCCCACTTAAGTCCTCCCGAGACAGCCCTGAGGTGAGGCATGTCTGATGGGGTGTCCCCGCTGAAGATGTGGTCCAACACCAACACCACTGCCTCTTCAAGTATCAGGCTGACAGACCACACTCCGCTCAACACAGCTTCACAGACGTGCACGCACTGGAGGTGAGACGTGCCCAGGACACCTGTCAGAATGCCCACCTGTGCTCAGGACCCGGGAGTCGGGGAAAGAGATGCTGCTACAGAGCTAGGAAAACATGGTGCCACCTATGCACCAGGTGAGCTCATCGGAGGTAGGGCCTGTTTTCAGTTTTTCAAAAGCTCAATGAAAAAAAAAAAGCTCAATGAACCCTAAGCATGAATACAGGGCACCGTACCTGTGTAACTGTCAGTCTGAACACTTTCAGCTATCTTCTCCGCCTAGAAATGAATATCAGAAGCCATTAGTTCTGAGTGCCTAGTGATGCAGTAAGGGAAATCTTGCTGGGCCCCCAGGGTCCCCAGGGCTCCCCCTACATACCTTATTGTTGCCATTGCACACTCTGATAATGGACACATAGTGTCTAATTTTTCTGCAAGTAGAAAACAATGCATTATATTCCTCCTGGCCCTCAATTCTGGTGGAGAGCTAGCTAGTTTTTCCCTTATGAAAAGAGCATCTCTCTTTCACAACACACATCTTGGAGAGAGCAGTTCTATTGCTGGTGGTCAAGGCTGCCAATAAACAAACAAGAGTCTGCAGGCATTCCCTGGTGTCTCTGGAGAAGACAGGTTGACTCTTCAGTAAAAATAACAAAATCCTTCCAAGCCATCGCAACATACAATTAAAAATGCCCAGGTTTCAAAAACATACTCCACTGCTAGCTAACCAAAAGCCTGTAGTTCTGTCACATGTTTTCATGTTCACAGGCCTTTACACTGATGCTCGTTTTCGAGTTTCAGCAGAGCCTGCTCACAACACTCATGGAAACAGTCACAGGCCCCTCTGGGGCCGAATGTGCGCGTCTAGAACCAGGTGGCTGGGGTTCTCTTGAGAGTTGCTGGCTCTCCTCACTTATTTACTGTTCTTTCCATTTTTCAGCTTTTCCCCTTGATAATCCAATCCCGCCCAATGAGGGAAGGACATAAAAAGGCAGAATCAGAACAGAGAGCCCACACAGAGCCGACTCCCTGAGGCAGAAGCCAGCTGGCAACCAGGCCTGGTAACCAACACGTGAGCCTCATGGGCAACGTGGGGGTCTGTGGCCCGGCTCCACCAAGCGCTGTAGCCAGGCCCTGGGCTGAGCCTCTCCCAGCCTCAGCTTCCTCATCTGTCAACCGGAGACGGTCACAGTGCCGCCGTCACAGGGCTGCGGGGAGGAGGAGGTGAAGGGACGCCCAGCAGGCCCTGAGCCCTTGCCCAGGGAGGGAAGGGCTCCCAGACGGCAGCGTGGTTACACCACCGTCACCACACCTCCTCCTCGTCTTCATGACCAAGAACATACACTAGGTATGATTTTACATTTTGACTTTTGTATTTATCATAAACATGTTCCCTGTGATTGAATTCTCTATGATCATCATTTCTAATTGTGGTGTATTTTATTGTTGAGTGTTCTGCAATTCACACTCAATTTTCCACTGTTTGTATTATTTAACATAGATTCCGAGACAAACTATGACACTTTTAGGCTCTTGATATACACTGCCTTCCAATCTGTGGTCACACCTGTTTCATATGAGTTTCCATAAATGACAGTATTTAAAATACTTTATCTAATTTGATAGTTCTGTGCAGAAATGATACAGAGGCTACCAAAACCAGATGTGTGTGTGTGCTCAGTCATGTCTGACTCTTTTGAGACCCCATGAACTGTGTAGTTCTCCAGGCTCCTCTGTGCATGGGATTTTTCCAGGCAAAAATACTGGAATGGGTTGCCATTTCCTTCTCCAGGGGATCTTCCCAACCCAGGGATTGAATCTGAGTCTGCTGCACTGCAGGCAGATTCTTTATCTGCTAAGCCAGACAGAAATCTTTTAAATATAGAGTCCACCAGTGAGTGCTCTTGGCACAAAGCTCAGTGAGGTGGCATCGGATTTACATGCTTTCATCTTTTATGTATGTGCTCACACAACTTAAGCAGGACTGTCGGGGTCTTGCAGCTCTGGGTCACCAGCAGGAGGGTCAGGCTGTGACCATGAGGAAGCCACCCTGGAAGGTCACACTTTGGTGGTAACTGACCCAGTTACCAGTCCTTCTTATAAGTTTCCATGTGCAGTTCCTAACTTACTTAAGTATTTAAAGCATATCCTGCAATAAGCCAAACATGGTATACTGACTGAAGTACTTGTTTTTTCTACTTACCCTCCCTGTCCAATGACAGGTATTATCTTCACATTTTGTTGTACATTATCTCCATTTTTCTTCCTGACAGAGTAAATTCCTTGCCATTCCTGTAAATGGAATGTGAGCATCATTATACACTGTGTTCCAAACAAGAACCTGAGAACATCCTCCACCTCGGGCTCCTGTTCACTCCCAGTGGCCACCAGAGCAATTAGGAGAACAAGATCCAGCTAAGGAGGACAATTCAGCCAGTGACTGTTTAGATAACAGAGTTGCCTGTAAGTTTTCCAGTCAAATGGAAACAAAAAGTATTTAGTCAACACAGATCCTATTTCTTAGCAAAATATAACAGAAGTCAAAGTTTCAGATCCTGAAAATAACAAAGTCCTACCTAGAAGGCTATTATGAAGAGAAAATCTGGTAACACAAACTCCTTGCCAAGTGCTGACACACACAGACGGCCAGTAAGGGGCCTGTTTGGTTTCGCACATGTGTCTGTCTGTCTGCGCTCCTCTCAGAATGACACGAGGCGTGCACCTCCCTCTACTCCAGGGCCAGCTCAGCAGAGAACGGGACTTCTCTGACCACCTGGACAGGCTCTTCGTGGTGGGGTCCGTGGCCTCAACAATTCCATCATCGCCATCCAGCTGTCCTATCTGGGGGTGAGCACAGAGCTGGCATGTGGTAAACGGTCAAGGGCCACTTGGGGCCTTAGTTTACTGAATGGAAAAGCTAGACCAAGGTCAGACCACGGAATCCTGGCGGCCAGGCTAAGGGACCTGAGCACTCCATAAGGGGGTGACATCATCAGTGATGACCTGGCGAGACTCATCTCCAGCAGTGCAGGGGGACTGACTGAAGTGAGGGTCTTGGGCCGGGAGGCCTAACTGCGTTCAGCTACCGCTGTCTTGGGAGTGTGGGGAGGAGGTCCTGAACATGGTCAGGCCCGGGCCATGGATCCAGCCCTGCTGATGGATTTGATAAAGAGGGGACGAAGGGGGAGGGAGAATCCAAAATCAGTCCAGGATTCAAAGTCCAAGCAGGTGTGAAGATAGTCAACAAGCAGAGACAGATGAGGACTGAGAGAGACTAGGCTTTCTGTCAGTGGGGGATGAGAGAGAATCATTGCTCTACAGGTTGGTTCCAAGATGACAGCAGGTGTTGAGACAAACCTTGGAAAAGACCTTCAGGTGAAAACTGGGGAATGGGAGCCATGTATGCAGAGGAGAAAGGATGCTCAATGACACAAGAGCTTTTGAGGGACCAGCAGGGGACAGAGCACCCTGTAAACCTGGGAGGAAAGGATGGGGAGAGGGGAGCTGGAGAGAGGGGTAAGTGGGGAGTCCTGGGGGCTACAGAGGGTGCAAGGGGTGAAAAGCTGGGACTCCCGGCAACCCAGTGGATAGACTCTGCACTTCCACTGCTCAGGGTACAATTTGCACGGCGCAGCCAAAAGAAAAAAAAATTATAAAAAGCTGAAGGGCTCCTTGTTTGCAATATTTTCCATTTGAACATCACTGGAATTTCTCCTGTGCCCCCAAGAATATCTGGCTGGTTGGACACCTAGAACCTGACACTCCAAAGCCCCTACCATCATCTGACCTCCTGTGAAGGCTCCAGCCCCGTCCCCAGCACAGGTCTGAACCCTCTCCATGGACCACAGCCTACTGTTTGTCCAGGCTGGCCGCTTCTCAACAAGCCCTTCTTCTCCCTGGGAAGATTCCATTAGAAAGGCCATGTATCTTTCTCCACAAAAACAAAACAAAAAAAAAAAAACAAAAAACTGCCCAGCTAAGTGGTCTGTCCTGCTGCAGTGTGGCCAGCCAAGTAGGAATGACCAACAACGGACATGTGGCAGCTCTTACACTCTCCCCAGGAACTCAAGATCACGCAGAACAAATGCCCTGGCTCCATTCTGAAATAAAGCAGTTAAGTATAGAGGTTGATAATAGGATAGTATTTGCTGCTCACAGCAAACACAGATGTTAGAGAACATGTGTCCTGCTGTTGGTGTTTGAGGCCTTTCATACCTGGTGCCCTATGGCAAGACTCAGGAGGTGAGACGCTGCCCACAGGGGTCTGGGGGGATCTCTGGACCTGCAGCTAATCTGCTGGATTCCCCCATCCCACCCCATCTCCACTTGCTCTCCTGAGAGGGACAGGAGTGCCTCACTGACCCTGCTGCTGCCAGATAGAGGGGTGCAAGAGCCCTCGTGTCTGTCTGACAGCCCACAGAGCCTCACGACAGAACTGCAGGCTGACCCCGTGGCTGCCCTGGACCTGGCCGCCGCGACTGGGGAGGCCGCCGTGGGTCTGCATGGCTGCTCCTGTGGCTGCCTTTGGAGGATGCCCCCATCGGCCCAGCAAGGTAACACCGGTGGGCCTGAGTTCCTACATTCTCTTCGTTCATTACCACCTCTGTTTCTCTCTCAAGAGAACCTGCCACTCTCTCTGGTAAGAAAATCTTCCTCCTTGACAGAAGGAAGAGCTGAAGGAAATCAGGATGCATTCAGCGCCTACATCGGCTACTCCCCGAAGGTGCATCACCTGGCCCCGCAGCTGGTCAGCCCCTTCCCTGTTCTCACTGCAAAGCCACCCCTGAGTGGGAAGGACACCCGCCCACTCACAGGGTCCTCGGGGGGCCCAAGCCAAGTGGGGCTATGAACCCTGCACAGCCCTTCTGCCCCCACTGGTAGCCTGCCCTCGTGGGTGACCAGACAGGCGTGGGGCCACATGCCCCAGGGACAGCACTTCCAAGGGCCTCCAATGGCCGGCAGGACAGCAGCTCACCAACTCCTCAAATATTTTAAAAAATCATATTCACTATCCCAATTCCTAAAAGTTAAAAGAGCCCAGCAGAAAAGCCTGGGAATGACTATGGAAAGCAGTGGCCTTTTCCTTCCTGGCGTATTTTAAAAGCTAATACCAGTGAGGTGTTGACAGAAGCCAGGGTTCAGAGAGAGAAACCTCCTCCACCCGGAGCCCACCTCTGTGTCTGTCCTTAGCACCACGGTACTGCGACTCCTCATGTCATAGTTTATCTGTCTGTTCTGTGTCCTGGAACATATTCTCTGAGCAGTTTTTCTTTGCTCATCTTTCTATACTGGAATTCAGCACAGTGCCTGGCATTCAAAAAATGCTGACCAAGTGAACAAGGCCCAGAGAACTGATGGGCTCAGCTGTGTTCTGAGAACGTGTGGATTCACTGGCCATTCCTTACCCTGACCACTGCCAACATCCATCACTGAGATTAATTATTAGAAAGATCAATTTACTTATTACAAAAATGAAAACAATGACTTTATGTGTCAAAGTTACTCTTCCTGGCTGGTCAGGTTATATGTACTTTCCTAGCCTCAGTTTCCTCATCTGCAAAGTGGGCACAACAGGGATACCACCACCTATGGTTCCCCAGGCCTGAGGTTCCCCAGCTTTGGCAGTGCTCAGTGAGTGTTCAACCTCCTTCCACCCCTCTCTGCTTCTGTGGAAGGGACCAGGGTGCCACTCTCTTACTCACCTTGCATGAATTTATAGTATCGAGCAAATCAGCCTTTTTTTCATTTATAGGCACTTCTGCTATCTCCTTCCCTATTAACTCGCCTGACTGATAGCCCATTGTTGTTTCGAACGCTGGATTTGCATACTGGGGGGTGGGAAGACAAAAGAGAAAACATCAAGTGAATTAAAAGAAATATTGAAAAGAGGACAATCAAAGGTGTTCAACCTAAACCATCATATTTTCCCCCCCAGAAAGCCCAGGAGCCTGGCCCTCACTATGATGGTTCTAAAGTTACAAGAGCACAACCCCAGGAAAACCCTGGAGTCTGGAGAAGCCTCTGCTCTGGTGATGCTGGGCTGGGCTTTCTTCCGTGTTCTCCCGAGGCCCAGGGAGGGCAGCAGGCTAGCTCCCACTTAAACACCCTTGGAGGAAAGGAGCATGGAGACACCTGGGGCTGCTGCACACAGGCTGTTGGGATTACGATACTGAAAGAAAGCACCAACTGGGAATCTGACCCACCCAGCCCCTACTTCCAAAAGTCACTTAGCTCCTCCCAGGTTTCAGTCTGCACATCTGTTTAATGGGGATGAAACATTTATTTAGCCTCTCTCACATGATGCAAATGAAAAATGAGTTTGGAAAGCAGGCTGTGACAGAGGAAGTGTTTACAAATATAAGGCTTTATGGTTAAGTTTCAAATAGGACTGTAAGAGTACAAGAAAATGCCTGGGAAAGCTGTGTGTGCGCTAATAAAAATAACAAATGATGATGATGATAAACAACAGTCATGCTGTTTAAGGTTTGTTTTCCTTGCTAGGCACCACAGCAAGCAAGTTACACACATTAACTCCTTTCAGTCCTCAGAACATCCTTACGAAAGGCAGGTGATTGTCAGCGTTAATATTATTCCCATTTGTACAGATGAGAGAGCAGATTCAGACAGATTGAATAACCCGCCCGTAGGTGCTCAGCTTGGTAGAGGCCAAGAATAATGGAACGCAGGCCTGACTGATACCAAGCCTGTGCTCTCAACCACCGGCCAGTGTCACGTCCCAAGGCACCGACTCCTGCATGTGGACATCATCAGGCTCTTTACCAAGAAAGCCACAGTTAAAGTGAAGAACTGCAGTGCTCATTAATAAAATCAAAGTGGGGCTCATTCTCAGACACAAGGAACATTCCCCTGGCACAACTCCCTCTTTTGCTGTTATCTGAGAACACATGTTACCTGTTTGTTGTTATCTGAAAGCCATGTGACCCTCTTTCACTTTTTAATTTTATTGAAGTCTAGTCACTGTACAACAAAGGAAATCATATGTATATGTTATATACATATATCCATTCTTTTTTAGATTCTTTTCCCATATAGGTCATTACAAAGTACTGAGTAGAGTTCCCTGTGCCATACTATAGGTCCTTGTTGGTTATCTATTTTTTTAAAGGTTATTTTCTTTTACTGTGGACCATTTTTAAATGAAAGCTATATTATCTTAAGTCACTTATATGAAGCCACTTTGCTACTAATTTGTTAAGTACTAGATTATTTTGAGTAGTGTCCAGTAAATTTCTATAGTTTCTATAGTAAACTACCATCAAAAACAGTTAAGAAAGGAAAGCGCACACAGCCCTTATGGGCAGGGCCTGTCCTTATTGCAACAGTCTCTCCCCACCCGGCTCCAAAATCCTGGATAAAAGCCCCTCCTTGCATAATAAATAAACAAGCAAAAAGCAGAGAAAAAATAAATGCCAGTGCCATAGGTCTACAGAATACTTTCTAACACATTAAGTAATTATTAGAAACTTTTCTTACCCCAGAGGGAACTTATCTTAGACTTTATATTTTACACATTTTGTTCTAATAAACCTCTAAGGAAAAACTGGTCCCTTGAACTTCAAAAAGAGAAAGAAAAAAAAAAAAAACTACCAAAGGGGTTCAACCCTAAAAATGCAAACAAACCAGAAATGCGGGACAAGCTTCCCAAATAACAAACCTGGATAATGTGGTCTTCACTTGTAATTTCAATTGCTTCTTGACTTTTCTCTAATGCAGCGAACATTGAGTTACAAGCCCTTTATGGGTAGAAAAGAAAAAGGACTGATTAATATAAATATTATAAAATGAATTATAGTCTTGGGATATTACATTAACTTACTTAAATGAATTCTTTGATTACAAAGGTAACTGATGCTAACTTGAGAAAAAAGAAGGGGGGAAGATTAAAAAGGAGAAGGAAGAAATAAACGCCTCCTGCAATCCTGCCACTTGGGATCATGACTCTGCACAACTTGGTGCTTTTCTTTCCATTCTAAGAACAAGTGGACCAGGGGGAACCCACACGAGGGTCAGAGCACAGCCCTTCCCTGGCTGTGGGACGTGACTGAACTTCCCTGGGTCTCTCCCTCTCACCATGTGCAGAGTCCTCATGAGGACTCAAAGAGAAAGTGGACTCAAGCTCCCCGCACAAAACCTGGCAGAAAAGAGGCAGCCCATCGTTTGCAGCTACCACCTTCAACAAATTCTTTTCACAAAACAGATTATCGACATCACTGGCTTTGTTCCCTGCTTCTACTTATTTTATATTGTGAGCATTCTCCCTGTCCTTGGTGGTTGAAAACATTTTTGAGTTACACAGGTAACAACGGGGTTTTTTTTTAATTAGAAAATGAAAATAAATGAAATACTACATCATACACAACTAGGATGGCTATAATCAAAGACAGTGTTGGTAAGGAACCCTCATACACTGCTGGTGGGAGTGTAAAATGATACAGCTGCTTTGGAAAACAGTCTGGCAGTTCCCCAAGCTGCTAAGCACAGAGTTACCGATTCTACTCCTAGGTTGGCACCCGACAGAAACAAAAACATAAGTCCACACAAAAACTTACAGCCCACAAGTGTAAATAACCATAATGCCCATCAACTGATGAATGGATGAATAAAATGTGGTATGTCCATACAATGGAATACTATGCAGATACAGAAGGAAACACAGTCCTCATGTGTGCCATAATATGGATGAATCTTAAAAAAAACATTATGCTAAGTTAAAAGAAGCCAGTCACAAAAGGACCACATATTGAATGATTCTATTTTAATGAAATGTCCAGAATAGGCAAATCTATATATACAGAGAAATTAGATTAGCGGTTATCTAGGGCTGGAGGTCATGAAAATGTTCTAAAATTGTGGCAGTGGTTGCACAACTCTGTGAATATACTCAAAGCCACTGAACTGGGTACTTTAAATGGGTGAATTGTATAGAATGTGAATTATATCTCAATAAATCTGTTTAAAAATACATGAGATTAAATCATCTGAAATCCCAACAACTACACAAATCAAGTGATTGCAGCCATGAAATTAAAAGACGCTCACTGCTTGGAAGGAAAGTTATGACCAACCTAGATAGCATATTAAAAAGCAGAGACAACACTTTGCCAACAAAGGTCTGTCTAGTCAAGGCTATGGTTTTTCCAGTGGTCATGTATGGATGTGAGAGTTGCACTGTGAAGAAAGCTGAGCACCGAAAAATTGATGCTTTTGAACTGTGGTGTTGGAGAAGACTCTTGAGAGTCCCTTGGACTGCAAGGAGATCCAACCAGTCCATCCTAAAGGAGATCACTCCTGGCTGTTCATTGGGAGGACTGATGCTGAAGCTGAAACTCCAATACTTTGGCCACCTCATGCGAAGAGTTGACTCATTGGAAAAGATCCTGATGGTGGGAGGGATTGGGGGCAGGATGAGAAGGGGACGAAAGAGGATGAGATGGCTGGATGGCATCACTGACTCGATGGACATGAGTTTGACTCCGGGAGTTGGTGATGGACAGGGAGGCCTGGTGTGCTGTGATTCATGGGGTCGCAAAGAGTCGGACACGACTGAGCAACTGAACTGAACACAAATCAATTGGTGTTCTAGGCAATTTCTTATATAAATATACATGCAAAAAAGAAATACATGCAATATATATATATTTATAAAAGTATAATCATATCCTAAAGTTTGATAATCTTGTCCCACTGAAAAATTATATAAATATCTTTCCATATCATTAATTAGTTCCTTATCATCACTTTTAATAACATATGTAATATTCTAAAGTTACACAATAATTCATTCAAACAAATTTCCCATGACTACACATTTAGGTTGCTGTCAGCTTTTTTTGCATATGCTTCAGATGATAAAAAAAAAAGAATGCAACTGTCTACTTCTTCATAAAATTCATAATTGTCCATACAATGCTGTTACTTTATTCTTGGTATTACTAAGCTGTCTAGGTAAATAAGACAAAACAGCTTAGCCAATAAAAACTAGTCCTTCTTTCTTGGCATATAAAACTCAAGAGACGGTATGTGAATTAGCCCAATAAAGCTGTTATTTAAAAAAAACAAGAATGAAAAAATAAGAAGTTTCCACGTCTGATATAGTAAGCTAGAGGAGATGGATTTGTGAGAAGCCCTGCTGGGTTTTATCATGTTTTTAAATTTTTGCAGATCTGCTAAGTAAAAAATGGTGAATCATTTTAATTTCTTTGGTTACTACTGAAGCTGAACATTTTTTTCATGTTTACTGGCCATCAGTATCTCTTATAAACTACTTGTTTATGACATGTCCTTTGTAATTTTTTTATACTGGGTGTTTCCATCTTTAAACTGATTCATCAAAGTTCTTTACATATTTAGGATATTAATCTGTCTGTCCTGAATGTTATGAATGTAGTTTTTCCTAGTTTGCTATTTGTCTAAATTTTTAACATTATATGGGCTTCCCAGGTGGTGCCAGTGGTAAAGAACCCAGCTGCCAATGTAGGAGACGCAAGAGATGTGGGTTCAATCCCCGGGTCAGGAAAATCCCCTGGAGGAGGAAATGGCAACCCGCTCCAGTCTTCTTGCCTGGGAAGTCCCATGGACAGAGGAGCCTGGTGTTAAGGTATTTTTACCGCCTGAGCCTCCAGGGCTTCCCATGTGGCATTAGTGATAAAGAATCTACCTGCCAATGCAGGAGACATGAGATGTGGGCTCAATCACTGGATCATTTGATCCCTGGGTTGTGAAGATCCCCTGGAGGAGGAAATGGCAACCTACTCCAGTTTTCTTGCCTGGAGAATCCCATGGACAGACAAGCCTGGCAGGCCACAGTCCACAGGGTTACAAAGTGTCAGACACGAAAGAAGCAACTTAACACACAAGGTGTTTTCACTGGGACATGCTTAACGTTTTTATCTTGCCTAATCTGCTTCTCTTCCTTTATGAAATCTTTTTGACGTCACACTGGATTTACCAAGGCTTCATTATCCAATGACATATGTTCACTTATATTTTTAGTACTTTCGTGGCCCTACTTTTTAACATGATGCACACTGGAGTTTATTTTGGAACTGGGGGTGAGATTGGGAAATAACTTAATTTTCTTTCCACATAGTTAATAAATTGTCACAATTCTGTTCACTGAAAAAATCTACCTTTTCCTGTGTGGATTTAAACTGCCATGGTGAACATATATACTTATGTTCTCAATTCTTAAATACACTCATGCTTATTTCTAGACTTTACATTCTAGGTTACTGATCTAGCAGTAACACAGATATACCTGTCACACACAGCTTTTCAGTGCATTTCAGTATCTCAGAAGAAGCTTCTCTCTACGGCCTCAGTGCTCAACCCGCACTCGTCCCTTCCCTCTCCTGTTATCCTATCTCCCTGAACAGTGGACAGCCCCCTCTGGCTGTCAGCTGGCACGCCAGAGACAAAGCGCAGCATGAGGAGACGGTGAGCACAGTTCTGAAGATGTGGGTTACAGCCCAGAGGACTACCTTTGTCCTGTGCCACGTGTGAGAGCTTGGATCAAAGTCAGTTAACCTCCTGGGTATCAGTTTCTGCATCGTGATTGGTAATTAGCCAACAATAAGCTCCATGGCTCACAGCAGGAAGTGTGGCAGCCAGGCTGTGGAAGACCCAGGAGTAAGGAAAGGGGCAGACCCAAGGCCAGCCATTCATCTCAAGCTACCCAGAGTTTGGCAACAAAAAGGAGCTCTTTTGCAGACCTCACCAGCCCTGAAACATCTCTGCTCACAGCACTTCTCTGCTACCTCACGCTTCATTTCATTTTGTCTATGAAGTATTTTCTTCTCCGCATGTGGTACCTGGCGCTGGTCCCCCCAATCTTTATACTCCAAATTCTAACCCCCTTATCTCCCCCGAGCGTGTACAGAGTGATTCCATTCTCTCTTGGATCCTGGTAAAGGAAATGTCAAACAGAACCCAAGGAAGAGAATGAAGATGAGAAAGAGCTACTGATATTTTTTTTTTTTTAACTTCTGTCAACCTCAGATAATTTTACTAATTTTGCTGCTTTTCTCATTCTACAAAGAACTAGGTTTATATTCTTTTCAGGTTAAAAAAAAAAACTGTTTAGCAAGAGCAAATTACAAAATGTTTACTGTAAAGAAGAAAACGTGTCACCTACTGGAAATATGTATGTACATATCAAAAAGAATTTTTAAATAAAAAACAAAACAGGTAATTCAGTATATATATTTTCACATCCTGTTTTTTTATTTGCTATTATTTTGGTGCCCCATCTTTTTTTTTGGCTGTGCCATGCAGCTTGTGGGATCTTAGTTCCCCTACCAGGGAACAAACCTGGGGTCCTGGCAGTGAGAGTACTGAATTTTAAACACTGGATCACCAGGGAAGTCCCCACTGGAGCCCCATCCTGAGATGTTAAGTCTCATATCACTAACATGCGTATCTGTTAGACATCCAGGCAGACTCCGAAAGTCTTATGCAAGGAGAGGTGCTTTCCCACCGCCCCATCCTACTTTAGTAGGAAGTCAATAACAGCCAAAATGGAGCCAGCTGTCCACACTCAAGTCCTCAGTTGCAGCCACACCCTGGGTGGTATGATGGGCTTTCCCGAAGCAGCAGAATTACCTGAGTTTCAGCTGTGAGCGCACCTCTCCAAACTCCAGCTGGAGCAGTTCATTGTAACAGGCCATGGGGCTAGGGTTTTCTATATACCTCTACAAACAGAAAGGGGATGGTACAGATCAACACATGTGTACCTTTAAATTATTATACACATATATACAAAATAATGCTTTCCAACAGACTTCTCAATTTGGTACCTGAAATCTAAAAAATAATTTATCTTCAATGATAAACAGGAAATGAAATGAAAACTTACAATACCAAATCAGCATTTAAAAAACAGTGCTTGCACATATCTGAAAACCTATTAAGAAACCACTGAATTGTACACTTTAAGTGGCTGAATTGATCAACTGTACCTCAATAAAGAAAAAAAGGCAGAAAGGAAGAAAGAAAGAAAAAGGAAAGTGTTTGCTGGAAAGAGAAAAAGATAAAATTAAAAATCTTTAAAATAATTTTTTAAAGCTAGTATAATCATTTAATGAAACAGCACGTGATGGTGTGGATGTGAACTTATATGGAATAATGCACAAGATACACTGTCAAGTGACATGAAGAAATGGAAAATCATGTTATAATTATTTATGTATTTCTCCTATAAAAATGTTATATCAACTTTAAAATAAATAGCTGAATTACATGGAAAATGAATGGTATCTCAATTAAGTAGTCAACAAATGAAATTAGGAAAAACAGGGTCCATTCTTGGGCATATCCAGAGAAAACCATAATTCAAAAAGACACATGCACCCCCAAGTTCATAGCAGCACAATCTACAATACCGAGACATAGAAGCAGCCTCCTAAGTGTCCACTGACAGAGGAATGGATAAAGAAGGGGTGTGTGGGTGTGTGTAATGGAATATTACTTGGCCATAAAAAATGAAACAATGTCATTTGCGGCAACATGGATAAACCCAGAGATCAGCATACTAAGTGAAGTAAAAGAAAAAGAAATATATCATAGGATACCACCTATATGTGGGATCTAAAAATATACAAATGAATTTACTCACAAAACAGAAATAAACTCAGACACAGAAAACAAACTTACAGTTACAAAGGGGAAGGGATGTGGGGATGGATGAATTAGGAGCTTAACAGATACACCCTATTGTATGGAAGATAAGTAAACAAGGTCCTACTAGGTATCACAGGAAACTACATTTCAGTATCTTGTAATAACCTTTAATGGAAGAGAATCTGAAAAAGTATACACATGTATGTATATAGTTTGGCCACCTGATGCAAAGAGCCAACTCATTGGAAAAGATCCTGATTCTGGGATAGATTAAAGGCAAAAGAAGAAGGGGGCAGCAGAGGATGAGAAGGTTAGATGGTATCACCAGCTTAATGGACACAGATCTGAGCAAACTGGGAGATGGTGAAGGATGGGGAAGCGTGGCGTGCTGCAGTCCATGGAGTCACAAAGAGTCAGACATGACTGAGCAACTGAAGAACAGCAAAAGCATATATGGATGACTAAATCATTTTATGTACACTTTTCTGTGTTGTTCTAACACAACAGTGTGAATTCTTCCACTAAAAAAAAGCTCAAGGGAAAAAAACCAGGGCTTAAGAATACTTTTCTTTCAGTGCTTTGAGCTATGAGGATTTTTTTTGATGTCTACACATCACTGGTAAAGGCTAGAATACACAGAAGGAAGAAATTTATTAACGCAAGTCCCATTTATATTAACTTTCGGAGTCTGTATGTTGTCCTCTTTCGAGCTGCACAAGCTCACGGTAAGCAAAGACACACTTGTACACCTCTTCGCAGCTGTGTCACCGAGGTCATTCCCACTAGGCAACATTTCCCTTTACTAACGTCAAATAGCAGCTCAGCTAAGCTGACAAAGGATCATCCTCCACAGCAGAGGGACTTGCAGAGCCATGGCTTCCCCAGGCGCTCCTACTCCTGCGGATACTAACTATTCTCTACATGATGAAAACATCTCAACAAAGCAGAGAACATGGAAATGGGAAGCCTGAGCCCATTCTACTACCAGATTAAGAATTTCATGAAGACATCTTACATGTCACTATGTACTATCATGTAATTCCACTCTGCTGTAATATTTGTATTTATTTGCCCCTGTTTCTGTGGCATGCTCTTGATTTCACCTGTTCAACACATGGATAATATTCTATCTGGTGAGGTGGAAGTTGAGGTCTCAGAGGCAGGGTATATGCAGGCCACTATCCACAAGCCAAAGCCAGACCAGCCTGGGGCATGGGGCCTCTTGTGATGCTCCTTCTACCACCAGTGAAGGCAGACACCCCCCTGTTGGAACCGTGATCTTGTCTGTGTGTCAAGTAATCTAAGAGCCCAGCCCCTGGTTCATGTCTTAAAGCTGTATGATCCTCTACAAGGCCCTGAAGCTTCCAGAGCCTTCTTCCTTACCCGCAAAACAAGACCACCCTGCATCTCTGACCATGACCACAAGAAAGCACTGCACCTGCGGACTGCTGCATGAACACACAGCAGTCACTGCTGTCCCCTGGGAGGGAGAGCCAGGCCCGCTGGCCGTGGGCATGATGGTCCCTAGGCCTGCAGGCCAAACACAACCATTCCTAACCACACAAGTCAGAGAGGGGACATGCTCGCCAGCTCCCACCAACTGGGAGGGGTAAGACTCTGGCCTTGGGACGTCCTGGTGGCTCGGTGGTTAAGAACCCACCTGCCAGTGCAGGGGACACAGGCTTGATCCTTGGTCCAGGAAGAGCACACATGTCACAGAGCAACCAAGCCCCACACCGCAACTACTGAAGCTATGTGCCCTAGAGCCTGTGCTCTGCAACAAGAGAAGCCACTGCAATGAGAAACCTGTGAACCACAACTAGAAAGGAGCCTCCATTCACTGGGACTAGAGAAAAAGCCTGTGTAGCACTGAAGCCCCAGTAAGGTCATAAATAAATAAAATTATTTAAAAAAAGAGAGAGCACTGGCCCTATAGCTCTCTTCTCAGTGTCACGACGCCACAGGAACACCCAAGAACACTGCTCATCTGCACAGGCGCCCACCGCTGACAGGGTAGGAACAGCGGCGAGATTTCTGGGGCACAGAGCGTGCCACCAGTAGACAAGAGGTGGGGGACCTGAGATGGACAGGGGTCCCCAGCTATCCTCGCACTTTCCTGGCCTCACCTGTTCTGCAGGTGAAATCCTGGGACAGGGAGCCATGTGTATCGTGTATCACAGGCTCCTGCGCATGTGGCCAGAGTTTTCACTGGGTGTGAATGTGCACATTCAAACATTTTTATCCCAATGGTGGATGTTCAGGTTAGAAAACCACTGCACGTTAACAGAAGCACTGCATCTTTCTCCCACTGGCTGCCCCCCACCTTGCTGCCTCTGCTGGCTCTGTGTCTAAACATCCTGTCTTTCCTGCCCTTCTGCAGGTTTCATTCATGTCCTGAGGATTCCATGGGGTTGTGGAGGGTACAGAAGGGCGTCAGGCCCAAGGAGCTTCAGGAATCAGGCTGCTGTTGCTTCAGCTTGAGCAGCAGCCGGTCTCTTCACCCCAGCCCAGCCCACAAGAGGGGTGGGGCCACTGGCTCCCAAGCCAACTCAACCTGCCTCTCCCTAGAGCACCTCACCCCCACCGGGCCCCCCACCGCCAGTGCATCTCCGTCCCTGGCTGCACATCAGAACTCCCTGCAATCTAAAAAATAACACCAGTGTGCAGGCCCCTCCCCAAACCAACAGAACCAGGGCCTCCTCAGGGACACTTCTTAGGCAGTTCTAATGCATGACTAGGGCCGAGAGACACCAAACCCTAACCTCAAGATTCTGGTTCAAGATGGCAAAGTAGAAGAATGTGCACTCATCTCCTCCTGCGAGAGCACCAAAAGTGCAACTAGCTGCTGAACAACCATCAACAGGAGGATGCTGGAACCCACCAAAAAAAGATACCCCACATCCAAAGACAAAGAAGAAGCCCCAGTCAGACGGTTAGAAGGGGTGCAATCATGATAAAATCAAATCCCATACCTGCCAAGTGGATGACCCACAAACTGGAGAACAATAATACCAAAGAAGTTCTTCCGCTGCTGTGAAGGCTCTGAGCCCCATATCAGGCTTCCCAGACTGGGGGTCTGGCAAAGGGACCGGGAATCCTCAGAATCTGACTTTGAAGGCCTGTGGGGTTTGATCACAGGACTGCCACAGGACAGAGGGAAACAGAGATTCCACTCTTGGAGGACACAAACAAAACCTGGTGCACACCACGACCCAGGGGGAAGATGCAGCGACCTCACAGGGGACTGAACCAAACCCACCTGTTGCTGTTGGAGGGTCTCCTGCAGAGGCGTGGGTCGGCAGTGGCTCACCAAGGGGACAGGGGCACTGGCAGCAGCAGCCCTGGAAGGGGCCCCTTGGAGGGTGCCATTAACCCTGCCACAGAGCCTGCAGCCCCCAGCCCTGGGCTGCCTCAAGCCAAAAAACTAACAGGGAGGGATCGAAACCCCTCCCATCAGCAGAAAATTGGATTAAAGCTTTACTGAGCCCTGCCCACCAGCAAGACCCAGTTTTCCCATGCCAGTCCCTCCCATCAGGAAGCTTACACATCAGGAAGCCTCTTAGCCTCATCCACCAAAGGGCAGACATAAGAAGAAAAACCAGCCTTTTTCATGAAGATGGCGCCGAAGGAGAAGAAGGAAGCCCCTGCCCCTCCTAAAGCTGAAGCCAAAGCAAAGGCTTTGAAGGCCAAGAAAGCAGTGTTGAAAGGTGTCCACAGCCACAAGAAAAAGAAGATCCGGCAGTCACCCACCTTCCGGCGGCCCAAAACACTGCGGCTCAGGAGGCAGCCCAAATATCCTCAGAAGAGCGCCCCTAGGAGAAACAAACTTGACCACTATGCCATCATCAAATTCCCCCTCACCACCGAGTCAGCCATGAAGAAAATAGAAGACAACAACACACTGGTATTCATTGTGGATGTCAAGGCCAACAAGCACCAAATTAAACAGGCTGTGAAGAAGCTCTATGACATTGACGTGGCTAAGGTCAATACTCTGATCAGGCCTGATGGAGAGAAGAAGGCATATGTTCGACTGGCTCCTGACTATGATGCTTTGGATGTTGCCAACAAA